CTGAAAAAAACATGCTAAAATTTGGTGTCCATACGTGCCTGCAAAGAGCCTGAAGTAATCATTTACATGTTAATTTCACACGCACAGGCTCAAAAAGAAGGTCTGACATGAAGTTGTGGTCTCAAATACAAAATCAACATCATACTAATGAAGATATGATGACAGTAGTTTTCATGAATACTCTTTCAATGCACTCGCAATTACAAGCTTAGTCACCATAGATACCAGAAAACCTTTGGGCTGTTGGGAAAGTGAAAGTAACCTAAACATCTTTGGCACAATATTCTCTGATGCCTGGTTTCATCATAAGACCTCTAATGTTAAGAGAATCTTTATTTAACCTCACTTATACAATCATGGACCATCCCAGCATGCCTTGTCTGTGCAACCTGTCAGACACAGCATCTCTCTTTTGCTCTGAGTGTTGTGATATGTCATGTGATGTAGATTAGCGAAGTGAAACAGTGACAGTATTAGAGCTAACATTGCTAACGTTGCAATACATTTGTTAACATAACTGAACTCAACTGTACATGCCTACATGTAGTGGAATCCTCTCAGCAAATGCTAAATTGGAAGAAGCTTCTATCCTGTTTTGGATATTTATTATTTGTAAAAAGTAATGAATTAAACTGACTTTATTTGATTCAAATGTGCACATCATATCCACACAAATAAAATGTTATGTCACACAGTTATTGCTTTATTTAAGTAAACTGAAAGAGACAGTTGTGTTGATGTGACATATTTTATGATGTACACATTTAAATTAAATTAATGCATCACTTTTCACAAATAGCTGTTACATAGATAAAATGAATTTATATGTACTGATTTAATTATTTCAAAGAAAATAAAAACACTTCTAAGTAAATCATTTGGAAAAATGATTTGGCAATACATATTTTTCCCAAAGAGATCATTGTGAGATGGTAAATTATCAGTTTAAGAATTAATTTAAAAAAAGATGAACAGATAAATGGTTCTCCAAGGGAGTGAATAATAATAATCAATTGCGTCAGTTTATTACTGCTTGTGTTTAGTCATGTTGATGGTTTAAAGCTCTTTCCACACTGTAGTTTATTGGAGGGAGAGAAAGCTGCTTTTTTAACAGTTTGAAAGGAAAAAGAAAAGACGCCTGTAGTCCTGTAAAGGTTTTCTCTGGGTGAATATTAAAATAGCAATAAAGTGTCTTTCTAGCTTTGGTGTGGTTTTGGGTACTTCCAAAATAAAACATCTGGAAAATATAATCCAGATTAATTAACCTTTACTAGAATGAACATGAATTGCTTTGTTTTTGTTTTTGCTGTGTATAACCTGTTATAATAATCATCATCGCACTTCACATACAGTACATTGGAGGGATTGTATGGTTGTGTGAGAGGAATAAAGCATTTAAGCTGCTTGTGGAGCTCTCTAATGCACTGTACAGAGTCACGGTCAGGCAGACTGTATAGGGCAAGAACAGGGTCAATAAGGTGAATGTGTGTGGCCCACCTGGGAATGTCAAGGCCTAACTGAGGATGTTTGTATAGGCGTTTCCTTAGAAACACACAAAAGCTAAGTAGGTGTCTGCCCAAGACATTTAGTTCTAAAACCACAGAAGAGCTGGTGCTTTCACCATCACCACACCAGCACAGTCACAAGCCTACACACGCTCAATCAGATCAATAGCAGCTCGACCGCAGAGCAAAGAGCTAAACCCATCACTTCACCTCTTTAGAGCCAGCCGGATGCTAAAGAGAAAGAAAGCAAATTAATGAAAATACATAAATATTGTATACTTTGTGGCCACTAGGTGGCTGATATTCTGATTCTCTAATGTATATTTTTATACTATTTGAATTGAAGCTCTCAGATCGACTCACCTCAACTCATTCATTCAGTAGCCCTGATGTCTTTTAAAATCAGTGACAGTTTGCCATATTATGACCTATGGATGTTTTTACTGTCGCCTGCCATTTCAAGGGGAATTTTTTTCTATTTTTTTGGCGAGATGTAAACAAAATTATTCAGAGTAGTTCAATGTGAAATGATTCATTTAAAGAAATGTAGTGACTCTTTACAGTGGTGCTGAGTCATACTTGAATAATTTCCGCAGAGACAGTGAAATTAAGGATGGCTGCTCTTCAGTATAAGAGAACATTTCAAACTCAAAGGCATTTCAAAGTGCTTTACATAAATAAAAGCATAAGGAAAACTGCAAGTAATTCAAGAGTCTAGGTAGGAAACTTTTTAAAAGATTCAAATAAAATTATAATAAAATACATTTTATGAATATGCATATACATACATACATATTATATAGCAGGAATTACATAAATGAATGGAAAGGCACTGTAATCCATTTAACCTAATGGGACTTATCACCTTGTAACCATGAAAAATATGTATTTCATGGTTAATGCATGTTGTGCTGGTATGAGTGGATCAGACACAGCAGTGCTACTGGAGTTTTTAGACACCTCAGTGTCACTGCTGGACTGAGAATGGTCAACCAACCAAGAATATGCAGCCAAAAGCATCTTGTGGGCAGCGTCCTGTGAAGGACTAGAGGATGACCAACTCAGACTGTGCAGCAGCAGATGAGCTACTGTCTCTGACTTCACATCTACAAGGTGGACCAACAATGTAGGAGTGTCTAATAGAGTGGACAGTGAGTGGACACATTGTTTAAAACTCCACAGGAAGCTAGTGGTCTCTATTATACCCAGGGAAAAGGTACAAATTTATCTTTTCATAACTCTTTTAAATAGAAAAGTTAAATAAAAGCCTGGAGTCAGACAGGATGTATGGATTCAATGCAACTTAAAAAATGACAATTCCAGCAGAATATGGTACAGTTATGTTCCCTAACAAAAAGTCCCGAAAATGTACACCCAGCAGTGCATCGAGTAGCCAGCAGAGAGAGCCAAACACCACGAAGATAAACCCATCCCCTCTCTGTTCACATCTCTGAGCATAATTGCCATAGCCATGTTTGTAAAGCAATTTTATTTACATCAGATATATCAGTATTTTTACTGATATATTGCTGATATATTTGATGATCCACTGATAATATACACCAGTTAAATGCTTAAGCTGCTACTATGTTGACACTGACTGTTGAAATCTTGCCTTCAGCAGTCTTGGTGTGTCTCTAAGGCGAAATGTCCCCAGTGTCTTTCCTCAGTGTTTTTGAAAGGCCTGGAATTAAAAGTTCTTTGTTCTGAAACTTCCAATTATAGATTCTGCATAAATTCTGCAAGACACTACCTTTCACATGCGTCAGCTTATAAAGTAGATCATCCTCAAAGTAGGAGCTGAATGGTCTTAATAAGTGTCAAAATAGGCTATTTATGCCCTGGGAAATGTCAATCTTGGCAAAGTGAGTCTGCTGACACATTCAAAACTGAATGCAAGTAAAATGGAGGGAAAGGTTTTGGCAAAGTAAGGGAAAGAGACTGGCAGTGAGTCTGGGTAAAATTTATCTGATAACATTGATTATTGGGGAACATTAACTGTGGATTTAGGCCTTTCCAACTCCCCATCACTAATATTGTTTGCATTAACTTAGTCTCAAACATTGGTTTTCAGCTCAAAAAAGTGTTTTGGAACAAAGTACTCTTTAAATGCTGTGTTGTCAAAGACAATATATCAGCTGCCCTGTATCTTATTTATCAAGGCACGGAGAACAATCTGTACTGTACACTCACAAGGCACATAATGTTTGATCTTGGTCATGTCTCATCAACTGCAGTGGCCATCAAAAAGAAGAGTTGACCTAACAGTGGAAAACAAAATCAAAACAGAACCTGAGACAAAGACAGAGATGCTCAGTAGCTTTACATGAAGTTTCCTATACCATTATTTCAGACCCGGTTGGGGGTGGGGGGTGTCCCTTCCACTTTTTGAAATTATGCAAGATCATGTTGGGGATCGTGGAGTGGTTGTTGACAAAGAACATAGCTGAGTTGCAAAAGAGCTGTCAATTGCAGTTCAAAACTTTAGTTAAACCCTAAAGAGACTGCTGTTTCATTTAGCTATAAGCAGTAATGACAAAAAGAAAGGCACTAATCTGCCCTGGAACTGTTTTCTCAACACATCTATATGGTACTATGAACATGCTATAAGTTATTAATGGTCATTCATTTTTTTAATTATCAGCATATTTATCATTATTGATCACCCTGAGAATTTTAGTGACACAATGAAAAAAATGTCATTGTAATAGGCAACAAAACTGAATCTCTATACTATATAGGTATATTATTATTCCTTTTTGTGTTTTAATGTTGGCATATAAGGCATATCAATATATTAAATGTAACTGTATGTGTACTTTATTTACACAGTTATATGCACACTGTTAAGCAATATTTTTACTTAATATTTTTATGCATTTTCACTGTCGAAGTACTGTAAAATTTAATGGTCAGTACGAAAATGTTAAATGTACTAAACTATACATATACTGGTAATTAATACAGATGTTAACTTATGGAAATCGATTGTAAATTTGCAAAAACAAATGATCACTTATTTCACAGACAATTGTTTATTTTAATGATTGTTACTGTTGTTATAATTGTAAAATACTGTGTCACAACTATTGATTTACAGTAAAAGGCAGTATTTCTAGGAAATTCAATGTCTTTAATTTTACACATTTTTACCATCATTGAGAAAACATACCATTACTATTAATTCATAACAGGTTTCGTGTTTTGTGTGGCCAGGCACCCCTGCTGACAGGCATATTGTCTTTTTTTTAAACAGTGTAGACTTTATTATCCTGTTATTGGTCTCTCCTGCTTGTCATGTTGGCTTTTCCTTTATTCACTAAGAACATTTGCACTGGTTGTGCAAATAGTTGTGATGAATGCATCACAACTATTGGGCAAAGAATTGCAGTTAATTATACAGTCATGTTTAATACTAGCATGCCTTTTGCTTTTGATCCTGTATTGCAGCTTTTATACAGTAAGAAAGCAACAGGGGCAATAATAGACAAAATGTATTGTATAAAATTAGTTTAATACAAAGGATAAATTTTAAATTAAGTAAAATACAGTAGTGCAGTTTCTATTTATTAAAAGAATCACAGTTTCACAGCTGGGCAGTTGTGTCTGCTGTCCCAGCATCCACTTGCTGATTTGTATCCGAACTGTCAGTAGGTGCATCACATGCACTCTCCATGCTCTCTGTGGTGAAATAGCTGTGGTGCTGGAATTTTATAACTTCATTTCCCCAGCTTGTCCAATCAGGCTGTAGACTTCGAGCAAACATTTCCAGACACCTGGCATTGTGCCTAATGTAGGGCCTCAGCACAGCTGAAATAGAATAAAGATAACAGTTAGCGCTGTGGCAAAGTCTTCTAAGGATTCGCAGAACCATAGCTTTCAATTCTACATTCTCTTGTTCCACACAGCCCTGGTGTAGAGTATCTATCCATCTATCTATCTATTATTGTTATTATTATTAATACTCTGAGCCATCAAGTTGACTCCAACTCCTGGGTCCGCAAGCTTCTTGATGGTTTGTTCATGATTCTTCTGAACGTATCAATCTAAGTAGTTGCCAGCCGTCAGCTTCTTCTATTACTTTTAACCATTCCAAGCATAACTGTCTTTCCAATAAACTGGTTCTTCTCATAAAGTGTCTAAATTAAGAGAGCTTCAGTTTGGATATCTACGCTTTGAGTGAGAGGTGATGTTTGATTTGGTCAAAGATCAATTTGTTTGTTTTCTTTGCCATCCAACGTACTCTCAAAAGTCTTCGCCAACACAAAAGTTCAAAGGCATCAATATTTTTCCTGTCCAGTTTTTTCTTTTTTTTACTGTCCAGCTTTCACATCGATAAAGAACCCCAGAGAAGGCAACAGCCTAGATAGCTCTGATCTTTGTTGGTAGAGACAAATCATTACATCTGAATAACTTTACAAGCTCCTTCATTCCTGTTCTGCCAAGCAGTGTCAGATTTCCTGACTGTTGGATCATTTGTTGTTGATAATAGATCCAGTTAGAAAAAACTTTCCAGGGTTTTTACATTTTCACCATCAATGGTAAAGTTTTCCGACTGTCATAACATTTGTTTTCTTCAAACTAAACTGATGTCCTATTGCAAAACACTAGACATACACACACATACAGTGCTGTGAAGAAGTAGTTGTGATATCCTGATTTTCTGTTAACGCATATATTAAACATCACTGCAAGTCTTTAAACTAAATGTGATATTAGTCAAAAAGAACACAAACACAAAACACTTTATAAAATTATTAACTAATTTATTTAAGGTGCAGTGATATCTAACATGTGAATCCTCCATGTGAAAAGGCTCCCTAAATAAGAACTTATTTCATGACCTTCAGATGCAACAACTGCAACCAACACATTTCTATAATTCGATATCAGGACACTTTTCTTTGCAGAACTGCTTAACTGAGATATATTGGCAGGTTTTTGAGAATGAACTGCTCATTTGAGACCCTGTCACCATATCAGGACTTTGAAAAGGCCACTCCATTCATTTTGTTGCTTTTCAGCCATTCGGATGTGGATTTGCTTTTCTGTTTTGGATCATTGTCCTGCTGCATAAACTGATTATGTTTCAGCTCACGGCCAGATGAACAGACACTCTTCTTATTCTCTGATACAGAACAGAATTCATGGTTCCTTCAATAACAGCACATTGTCCAGGTCCCCTAGGCAGCAAAACATCCCCACACCTTCCCACTACCTCTGCCATGTTTGAATGTTGGTATCATGTTCCTATTGTAAAATGCACAGTTTGTTTTATGGCAGATATTAAGGAACCTGTGTTTCCCAAAAAGTCAAACTTGTCTGTCACTGGTCTGTCCACAGAACATTATCTGAAAAGGCTTAGGAACTGTTCCAAATTGTTTTTGCAAATGTGAGACGAGCATTGATATTTCTTCTGGGTAGCAATGTTTTCTGCCTTGGTGCTCTTCCATGAATGCCACTTTTGCCCAGGCCTTTCTTTACTCTTGAGTTCTGAACACTGACTTTTTCCCCCTCATCTCTTTCAGAGTTTTTTTAATCATGGCCTTGGCTGCTTGTAAAAAAATTTAGTAACTACATCATTCTGAAGGCAATCTTCAATGTGAGTGTGGTTTTCAACAGAGCTGGCTGCATTCAAGCCTGCCTGTGTTCAATCAGCTGAACATTTTTGTCAATTAAATTACGTTAACTGCTAAAGTACTTAAGGGGCCAATAACTTTTTCACATGAGTGATCTGCAGGTTTAATAACTCTGCTCTAACTGAAATAATCTGTCTAATATTACAAGCTCTTTAAAGATCTAAATAGCATGTACTGTGACAACATGCAATAACAGAGAAAATCAGGAAGGGGCATTTTTTTTCCACAGCACTGTATGGACTCGCTCCGCGACCCAGAAGGATAAGCGGCTTAGAAGGTGTGTGGGTGTGTTTGTATGGACTGGCACAGCAATAGAATTTCATATTAATGGTTATTAAAAAAACAAATCTTGTTCATGCATTATTCCTTCACTGTTATTTTACAATATAATGTAATAATACATCGAATTAGTTATTGAATATCAGTGTATTTAATCATTTTTGCCGCTTTATAAAAGCTCTACTTTATGTCATTCCTAACAATACTCCTTAACCATGGCAGCAGTGGAAAGAGTACTAAAAATTCCTACTGAACTAAGAGTACTGCTGCTGTAGAGCTAGATTACTGGAGTATAAGTAAAAGCATTAATAAAGGATTTATTAATCAAGTAAGAGTAAACAAGTTGTTTTTCTGACTTGGCTATATCATATAAACCATACAAACAAAACTAAAGCAGAACATAACCTTACATGAGAACAAAATGATGTTTTGAGTGCTGAGGCATGTTAAACACAAGGCAGGTTAAAGACATGGCATGTTAAAGTACATGCATTTTATCAGTGGTTGATTACATTATAAAGCTTCATACAAACCTAAAAAACCTGGGACAGTATGTGAAATGCTAATGAAAATAGAAAGCAGTGATTAGTAAATTCTGTTTTACTTGTTTTATTGTTGTTTTTGGTAAACGTGCTCATTCCAAATTTGATGTTTGGAACATGTTCCAAAAAAGTTGACCATACGTCACCATACATTACCTATCATTGTATCAACACTTAATAACTGTTTTAAGACCGAAGATATTTACTGATCTGGTTTAGAAAGCATAATTTATTTTCGTTCTTCTGCTTTGTCTGTGCAACTGTATGGTGTCTTCTGTTATAACACGTGCAGAATGTGGCCTGTCACTATGATGGACGTCGTCTAGAAAGCAGAAATTGTTGCTCCAAAATGTGTATATATCATTCAGCACTAATGGTGTATTCAGAGATGTGTCTCGTGCCTCTGTCTACCTTAATGAGCGTCTTTCTGTGCTCTTCATCAAGGCTGAAAGGGTAAGATGTTCAAAAGTGTGAGCTCACTTTACTAAATTTAATGATAATGCAGCTAAATGCAATATATGTAAAATGGCATAACCTCATGAAACACAAATACAACATGCTATAATTCTAAAATGCATTACAACAGCATGTCTACAGTAAAAGAGTTCAGGTGCTAAACTGGCCTGCCTGCAGTCCAGACCTGTCACCTGTTGAAAACATTTTGCGTGTTATGAAATTAAAAATACAACAAATGTGACCCTGAACTGTTGAGCAGCTGAAATCCTATATCAAACAAGAATGGGAAATCATTTCACCTTTAAAACTACAGCAATTGGTCTCCTCAGTACCCAAGCTCTTACACAGTGTCGTTAAAAGAAGAGGTGATGCAGCGCTGTGATAAACATGCTCCTGTCCCAAACTTTTTTGAGACGTGTTGCTGGCATCAAATTCAGAATGAGCAAATATTTTTCAAAATACAATCACATTTCTCAGTTTCACACCTGATATGTTGTCTTCGTACTATTTTCAATAAAAGCTAGAGTTTACATGATTTGCACAACATAACATTCTACTTTTATTTACATTCTGCACAGCGTCCCAAATTTTTGGAAATGGGGTTGTAGACTGGAGTACCTGAAAAGGCTATACATAGGTTGTTAATGTTTAATTAAGTCTATTTTTTATTTGGCCTTTAAAAGTGGAGATACATGATAATGGGTAGACTGCTCAGTTAATAATAGAATACAACAGCCCTCCAGCCCATTACCCATTATTAAGTTGTGAAAAGCATAAATTTCAACAGTTGATTTATCTTAGAACAATTAAAGGTGACAGATTGGGCAAAATATGCTCCTTGTGTGTGGTGGTAACTTTATCCTTTAACTTTCTCCACTCAACTTGACGTCTCTGAACTCATCATGGCTGAACTGTAGGGATTTTGGAGGAAGGCATTGCTTTGCTTTGACTGGCTTTCAGAACTGAATCTTTTAAGTTTAACTGGGCTTTTTTTAAACTGGTTTACAAGCTAATAACACACTTTTTTTTTTTACTCTGTAATGGTGATTTAAAAAATAAAGTAGCAAAGTAAAAGTACATTATTAAAAATGATCTTAAGTAAAAGCACTATGATTTAATTCTATTCAAAAAAGTACCATGTACTCAAGTGTACTCAAAATGTACTTAAGTACTGTAACAAGTGTAAACGTAATTTATTACTTTCTACCTCTGGACCATGGTAAAAAAAAAAAATCACTCAAATGCACGTTTGAGTGGCTTATTACTTTATTTTAGATTCATTAATAACATACTTGTGATCCAGAGTTGTCAGATGGGCACCGAAGCATAGTCCTGTCGCTCAAACGCATCCTTATGCAATGTAGATTACACTCTAGAATTTAAATAGACTCCAAAGTGAGATTCGAGATAAATGCCTGGCTGCTATGGAAGCTAAAATAACACACTGTGACGCCAAGAGCGCCTGATCAACATGACAAGAAGCTGTGTGGTTTTCTGCGTACCTGACAGTGATGGCTTTTGAGAGTGCAGTGCTGAGGGAATGCTAATTATGAGCCGCTCATCTGGGATCTCACACTCTTCAGGCCTGAAACAAACAGACGACAGGATGAATAATTCTGTATAAATGAAGGAGGGGGGAAAAAACTAATATGCACATACAGGGCCTCTGTGGGGCTGATCTGCTTGCACCTAACATTAGCATTTTTAATTAGCACTTCCCCCAAGTGGTGGCCTGTCTCACTAGGTCACTGTTGCTGCAGCATCCAAACTACCACAGTGCAGATGTCGATTCTTCGAGGGTATCTGATAACTGCATATAAGCCGTGTAGTGTGCAATGTGAGCATAAAGGCAACATATGCAGCAACCTAAAGAAAAACTTAAAATTGGCTACAACCACAGTGATAAAAAAAGATGCATGAAATTTAATTTTAGATTTAAAACTTGTAAAAAAAATACATGCATTTCCTGTTTCATATTTCCTGTAAAACCCACATCTGTGAATACTCACTTGTACCATATTTGGACCACTAAGATGCCATGGCTTAATTTGATGGGGGAGAAAAAAGCATCAGACATACAGCTCAATGTAAGATGTCCCCATCATGTAGGATCTCATGACTACTAAATGTTTACTGTAAAATTTGTTCTTGAGGAAGGTCCAAGAAAAAGTCTGTGTCAGATGGATGACGTGTTCCTAAACCACAGAATTGTTCACACCTTTGTGCTCTTGAGTGTGTGTAGTTTCTGTTCTTACCCAAGAACAAATCCCAAATAATTAAACACTGGTGAATGTCAGAATCTTCATAAAAACTGCATAATTGGGTTTAGGAAGTAATTATCTTAAGAACATTTAGTGAACGAGGCACATTGTGTTTAAGCACGAAACGTTCTCTCCTTGTTTAGTCAAAACTAAAAAAACAGCTGCCAATGCGTGAATAGTTAATAAATGAATGTCACAAGCCAGTGGTTTAGCTCAGTGTTAATGAGCTATTTAGAGGGGTGAACAATCACAGCAGTAACACATTTACAAGTAATAAACAGCATCAGTGTTGTTTTTGTTATAATAATAATAACAATATTACTACAAAAACCCAAACAGGAGTTGAAGGAGAAGGTGTGTACATGCCATGGCATGTGACCTTAAGTCTTATTGCCATTATCTTGAAATCTATTGGTTGTACAGACCTCAGGTTTTGATGCAAAGTTAATGAAATACTGTAGTTTAAGCTGTGGTTTGTAGTGTCTATTAGCACTTAATATTAGAGGTTGGCAATACTGCAAAAATGTAACATTGCAATACTTTTCATGATACACGATATGTCATGATATTTATTTCTTCAGACATATGATCAGTTGGAACTGAGAAAAAACAACCAGTAGTACTACATAAAAAAGCTAAAAGCCATGAATACAATGATTTTCATTTCATATTTTGCATACTGTGTTGCAATATATATTGTCATTGCCAAGCTCTGCTTAGTATCACTTAGCAAGTGTGCACTTTTTCCATATTAATGACCAATAAGAATAAAATTAGCCTCCTGCAGTGCAGTGAAAAATGTTTGTCTTTATCGAGGCCAAATTTCATGAGGCTGGGAATCATTCACATGGAAATATTAAACCCTAAATATGTCTTTCTAGGCAACACAGCTTTTAATTAGTAAATATTGACATCTTCAGGAGAGTAAAAAAATGTGGCAATGCTAGAAATCAGCTGAAATACTTTATAGACTCGGAGGCATGCAATAGTGAACTGACATGTAGAATGACTTGTGTACACAAAAACATAGGCCCACAGTTTCCATGTCTGTGCTCCCCTACCTAGTTGTGTTGTCACTGTTGGCACAGAACCTGCCAAGTAACAGTACTTCATATGGCTTCTTGTGTGGCGAGTCCAGAGGGAAAACAAACTCTCCTGTGCGGGTTACCTGCAGACACAAACAAAATTACTGTAATCACAGTAAGAATGACTGTTATGATAACTTATTAAGTCTTTATAACTGTTAGAATCACATTCTTTCTTATATATTTTGAACAACCATACATACTGTCAAACACTAAGGTTCAGTGTATCTGTATGTATTTTCCCTTATTTGAGAATTTAATGTTGAGTGTTTATGCTATATACCTAGTTTAAAGCTGCATTCTGTAAGATATATTTGTTAAAATTGAAAGAAGTAGCATTACTGTGTCAAAACACACACAAAAGTATGGTGTCCAAGTGCTGCTACGAGTCACCCTGTAAAGCCTGAAATAATACTTTAATAATAATAATAATAATACTTTCTCCATGCATTTTACATGCATTTTAGTTGCAGTATACTCAATAAGTACGCCCAGTATATTGATAATATATTTGAAGTGTATTAATAGTTTGTTACTACAAATTATATACATACATTTAAAAAAGCACTCTAAAGCACATCTAAATGCATGTAATATTTTTCAATCACAGCTGAATTACTGTTTAATACACCTGAATTATCATGTTGTTCCAAAGTCACAATCATCAGATTTATCCACTCAGAGAAGGATCCGAAACACAACTGACATTACAAACCGTTCTTTCCCACGTTACATGCAATTACACATTTCCACCAGAGAGGTCTCCAAATCCCCAAATCTTACATCATGTAGCTTTATGGTTAGGTTATACATTTACCGGTTTATAAGGTTACTGATATGTATTTTTTTATATATATATATCTATTACTTATACCATTCTGCTGTTTATTTGACTTTGTATCTTTGTGTGTAAATGTTTGCTAGTGTACCTTGACCCACAGCCACTCTGCTAACAGCTTCACTCCCCAGTGAGGGTAGAGCTCCTCTCTGACGAACCGAAGATGTCGAGGACGGTTGGTTACCCAAGTAACCACCACACATCCTGCTGCACTCACCACTGGGACAGGAAGTTGTTTGAGCTGAGATGACGGCAGGAAACCGTACCTGTCATTCAGAGAATGAGAGGGAGCCCACAGACACAGATGCAAGTTAAAATTATTTGCGTTTTGAGTCAAAGTGTTGGAGGTTCACTAGTGTGGCTAATTTGAACTTGGGGCGCTTCCCATAAAACCTGGTTTGGTTCACTGCCGGTGAGAATGCATTTTTACGATAGTCTGCACCAACCAAGGGAATGTAATGTCTGAGCATGCTTTCCTCTTCTTGTAGCAGCATGTCAGAGATGTACTGTCTGCATAATCTTCCTGTTTTAACATGTGCTTCTTGACAGATGATCGCATTGTTCTTGCAGCAAGAGCTGCTGCTAATAATATATAACCAACTGAAGCAAGTGAAAAGACACAGTGTCAGAGAAGCCTAATCTCTGGTGTGAACTCTAAATGAACTAGGTGTGAAAACAGCCTTTAATTACGTTAATCCAGTGAATTCTTTACAAACAATGCAAACTGACTGGGTTTTTGTTAAATTATTGGATTGAGGAATGGAAGACTTTTTTGGAAGTTTTTTTTTGGTTTAGTGATTCCTAAGGTAGGTCCTGACCCAACCCCACCCCCCTCTTGGCTATGCCAGTGCCACACAACACATCATTAACCTGCACATGCAATCTGCACATGCAATACATAATATGCAAACTGCATCAGTTAGCATTTAAACCTACCTATTGCTTCTTTTCACAGACTTATTTTCCCATGGTGGGTCAAGAACTATTAGATCAAATTTTTCTCCACCTATAGAGAGAAATAACATATGAACAATGGTAGAAAACCTGTCTGAGATTTGCCAAAATCGGCCTCAACATGCTAATTTAAAAGACCGTATGAGAGTTCTCTTTAAGAACCAAGCTTAAAAGCTCCAAAAGGCCTAGTTCTGGTATTGTCCAGTCCGTAATAAAAAAATAGAAGGTGGATCTTACTGTTGACCAGTGGCTCTAAGCGTGTGAAATCAGACAACAGGAAGCGGCTGCGGGGAGGCAGAAAATAAATCTCTCCCATTAGCGTGACCTCCCGTGCGGAGCTATCGTGGTTTTCTGTGAGGCGTGAGAACAGATCAAGGTGTGAATCCAAATCTGCATGTCCCTTTACAGCCTGTACAGACACTGCATCAGCATCCTCCACTGGAAGCAGCTGCTTGGCCATGTCACACAGAGCAGCTAGCTGGCACACATGAACTGGTGTTTGTTTAGTTGGCTCTGTATGTAAAGCTTCTGTCAGGTAACCGCAGTGATGTCCAGCCTGAATAAGAGGCTGACTTCCCTCCAGAACCAACAACCTGAACTAATGTACAAAAAGAAAGAGAGAAAGAGAGAGAGATTGATTAGATTATCAAACTAAAAGGTTTCTACCAATACGGATATTTTCATGGTGTTGTATGATTTCTGTTATTCGGGTTTTGGAGAAGGCAGGGCTCGGAATCGCCCCAGGGGTGTGTGTATTTGTGTGACAGGTGAGAGAGAGACGCAGACAGAGAAAAGCTTTGCTTATGCATGGCGTGGCTGTGGCCAACAACAGCTGGAAAATCTCTTTCAATACCGGTGAACACTACACTTCTCTCAAAACTATTGTAAAACAAGGCTTCAGGCAGTGCATTCATAGGCATTTCATGTAGCTAACAACTTTGAAATTAGTTTTTGAAGTTTGAAGTTAAATTGAAGTTTTTAGAGACTTTAAAGGCTTTGGGGGTTTCATTCCTGTCACCACCACTGTGAACAATTTTGACTCAGTAAGCTTCTTTAGAACGGATCATCTCACATCAGACCACTCTGAATGACTTTCGTTGCATTTTAACCATTTAATTATACAGACACTTTGAAAATGGTGGCATTCGCCTTTAAAAGAACAATAAAACGCTTTTAATAATTTTTAAAAACTTGGTTTAGCTCGGTCATAAAAAAAGGTACCTTTTCATGGAAGGCTTGAGCATCCAACTCCCCCTGATTGAGATCACTCCGTTTCCGCTTTCTTTTCTGAAAGAGAAATGGAGCGAAGCCAATAAAAATACACTAAGCACTAAGCCAATGCTCCTACGAAGAAGTGTGATATTATCTGTCAAGCTGAAGCAGCCCAAACGAGGAAACATGTTGCCATTACCTTTCGTGCCTTCAGGTGGATTCTCTCAGGTGTCTCAGTATTTAATAGATCACTGCTGTTTGAAACATCAGTCCTGTCTTTGTCCACAATATGAGGCTTAGAGAGATCATAGTAGTGTTCGTTGAATCGGCACCTGAAGTAGCCCTTCTTTACACTAAAACAGCGCTCTAAACCTTCGTCTATGAGAGAACAGGAGTCCAGCAGCCACCCGCGATCATTAGCGAACAAGACAGCCATTTAAGCTGTACTGAAGTGAAGTGTGAAAAGCAATACAACTGAACAGAACAACCCGGAGTTTACTGCCTGTCGCTGTACGCTGTAGTGCAGCGCCATGACACAACACAGCAGCAGAGCTGTACAGCGACAAGGCTGCGCTGAAGAAACGCAGCTGATGCGCATATCATAGGGTACTTTTCTCCACTGTCAGAGTCGTGTTTTGCCGTAAGCAGCTGAAGCACTCGTGCAGGCCCACCAAATCACGAGGAGCCCCACGAGTATACTTTCTTCTTCTTACTATTATTATTCTTAAATTACAATAACAACAACAACAACAATAATAATAATAATTATTATTATTATTATTAATATTATTATTATTGTGAGTGAGTGTGTGAATGTGTATGTCTGTCTGTCTGCCCTGCGATGGACTGGCGACCTGTCCAGGGTGTATCCTGCCTTCCGCCCAATGACAGCTAGGATGGGCTCCAGCACCCCACCGCGACCCAGAAGGATAAGCGGTTTAGATGATGTATGTATGTATGTATGTATGTATGTATGTATTATTATTATTATTATTATTATTATTATTATTTGTCATGGTATTAGTAAATCAATGTTTTTGTACTTGTTTCATTTTGTTTATATAGACAAAGTTCAGACAATTCCACATTCTATTTCCCCTATTAATAATTAAATATTATTTTATTTTATTATTTATGGTGTTTTATTGTGTTTACGTTTGCATTTATGAATCTTTTACTTCATTAAAATGAATGATGAAAGTAATATTTAATTTTTTGATTTAATAAAACTTTTTTTTTAATTATTAAAAGTCAAATTTTCATCACTTTTATTCATTCTTGCATAGAACATAATAAGATTGGGATGGGTGTTTGGGAGTAAACGATGTAAACCCACCCAACCATTGCCATTAATGACTATTAAACACCACCAGGGACCAACAGAAACGTTTAATGGTTTATATGATTTTTAAACCTGGGGTAAATTTGACGCTAATGAAAACCTCTTTGACACAGTACATACTTGCAAGACTATGTAGATGAGCAACTGCTACCAGTCTGGTTCATTTAATTACAAATCTACCCGCAAACTGGTAAAGACCTGTTTGTACTAGCTGAAGGAAAAAAGTAACAGTAAGTCTAATAGCAAGTATAGCAAATCAGAATATTCTTGCTGTGTTTTTTTCTGTACGCCTAGTGTGACATTTGTAAATGAAATATGTCATTCAACAATGTATACATAATCTTCACCTACAGAAAAAGGCCTTAAAGAGGCGTTGGATGAGGGCTTTTATTTTGACAATGTTTGGGTTAAATTGAATAAACAGAATTTCCCACCGGCAACATCCAAAACTTGTTGTCTCTAATTTTTTAGCGAGTCTTTCAGGAAATTCTTTCAAGAATTTCAGTTGTATAACTGGGTCGAAAATAATTTGGTGGTTTTTCATTTAGACTTTAAAACAGGTGGTGTTAAATATACGACAGCGCACCAGAAAATGTACAAGAATGTTTGGCGCCAGAATAGGGTTGCCAGTCGCGATTTTAGGTTCACTGTGTCAAAAAATGAAATATTTCATCCGTTCGTTTCAGTGTAGTATTTTGTTTAGTGAAAATCAGTAACGAAAACACTTACAGTATCCTTTAGCACAGTAGTTTGTAAACCTGAAACGCTGTGACTGAGTTACTGTATAAACATTGACTAGAAGCTGTTGTGTTTGCTATGAGCTATGAGCGAGTATTTGGCAACCCAGCGCGACCAAGCGGGCGCGTGGCGACTGACAACACAGTTGCAGAATCACATGGTGCAGCAGTGTGAGGGGGCGAAGTGTTCAGAACTGAAACAGTGAGGGCCGCTGTGGAGAGACACTGACTAACAGCAGCAGCACCGAGAACAGGCGGGCCTGCGCGTCCAGCAGGCAGACATGTCGGAAGCGGAGCGGTGACGCGTCTCTGTTCGGTTTTCGCTCTGCTGAGTCGTTTAGGCGCCTCAGCGCTGATACATCTGCCCTGGGGAGGAGGAGGAAACATCAGAAACATCTGAGAGGAGAGGAGAAACATGGCGGACTCGGGAGTTTCCCGAGCGGAGAGCTCGCCTGACAGCCTCTCGGTTTACATCTACGACTGTCGCCCCGACAGCAAAGTAGCTTCTGAGAAGGTGATAGAAATCAGCGGCAAGAACTACGACGAGTTCCTCCAGGCTGTACGCCAGGTGGGTGGACTCCGTCCGTCAAGTTCGCACTGAGGAACTTAGCTAAACTAGCTGGCTAAATAAACAACTAAGTTACATTCTTAAATATGGTTCTTCTTAGGTAAAAGCGGTGGTTTTGTTTAGAACTTTGAGTTCTGTATAGAACCATTTTATGCTTACATAGTGAAATGGTTCTTCAGAATGAATGATGTGTTGTATATGGTTGTATTTAGAGCCTTTTTGAAAATGGTTCTAAAAGGGAACCAAGACGAGTTATTCTGTTGTTATAAGCTTGACATCGTAACAATAGCAGAACCCCTTTTGGTGCTATACAGAACAGTTCTCAAAATAATTCTAGATATGCATCCATATACAACGCACTCTTCATCATTCTGAAGAACCGTTTCACTATGCAAAGAACCATTTAAGCATGAATTACTAAAGAGCCCTTGAAGAACCACCCTTTGTAAGAGTGTAGCTGTTTGTAGAGAGTGAACTTGACTCTGTTTTCTCTCAGTGGAGACATTAAAAGCTGGTGTCTGTCACTGCTGGCAGTGTGTGACAAGGCTGTCAGTTAGGCTAACTTAGCTAACTCACGGTGTACTCTGGTGTTTAAACCTGCTTCAGTTTACTGTTTGCATGTTTTATTTCTCTACTGAATTCACTCTGTTACCATCACACCCTTCCTGAGGTGAGTCCAGTGTGATAGAGCAGCATAACCAGTGCTTGGTGGCGTATCGTCTATACCAGTGGTCCCCAGCCCTGGTCTTGTAGAGCTGCCTTCCTGCAGAGCCCAGTTCAGGCCACAATTTGCTACACCTGCTCCAGCTAACCAGCCTCTTCCCAAGTCCTTGACTGGCTGTATCAGATGTAGTGCAGTTAAGTAAGGGGCAGTGCAGCTTATTGGATACAGGTGGGAATTAAAACTCCGCTGGAAAGTAGCTCTCCAGGACCGGGGATCGATACCCCTGGTCTATACCTGTGTACTGTGAGACTTACACACTGTGATATTGATAGATCATTATGTGATTTCCATAGAATTTGCTTTAGTTTTTACTTCTGTTAATTGGATTTTACTCGTGGCATTTGGCGTTAAATTTGTCGGCAATGTAATGCAAATTGGTTGGATGCTCTTCTGAAAGATCTATAAAAAGTACATAAATAATACATTTACAATAATGTGTATGGTTTCCTTTTGTGTCATTGTAACAGAAGAAACCAGACAGACCAAAACAAGCTCTTTCAGATTTGTGAGACATACCAGTGGTCAGGAAGCATGGGTTCATTTACTTTATTAATGCAAATCTAAATATCATCCAGTACTCGGATACTGTGATACATTTGGAAAATATTGGAAATTGGAAAAGTTGTGATATTGAAGATTATAAATACCACCCAGCACTAAGATGTAATTTAGTGACCAAAAATGTGAAACACTCATTTTCTGGAGCAAAATCTTCATAGGTGGGGCTCTTGGGTGTGCAGAAGGCGTAATAGAATCAGTTTCAGTTTACCTCATTATCATATTGATAATATGTGGCTATTAATAGCAGTTCCCAATCAGTTTCTGTTCTGGAAAAAAGAACAAGGAAAGAAAATAAGTTGCTGCACTGAGCTGTAACCATGTGGGTGTTTTATCTCTCGACCTGGAAAACGTTTCCTGAATCTCTCAAACTTTCACTGTCATTCTGCTCTGCTGATTCAGTGCATGAGAGCATGCGAGCTGTTAAATCAAGCTTCTCAGAACGTGTTTGGAAAAAGAGCAGAAGCATTATCTTCAACCAGAAAACCATAAAAGCCTTCAAAGCAAATAGTTGCTTGTTTTTTTCCACTTCTACTATAACTGCTGTGTATATATAGCAGCATCAACATCAGTCTCTAGCGTATTGGTTATCTTCATCGCTTCTTCTTTGATTATCATGCTTTTTATTTCACCCCCTATATAGCATGCGACTGATACTAGAAACATGTGACTTATTAATAGTGATTATAACCGCAGTGCTGAAGAATTTTAGGCTGTTATAGTGGAATTAACATGAGGATGTCTATATACGTTAACATTTGACACCACATCTGATCAAGAAACAGATGACTTTAAGGGAGGAAGTCAAATATATCTAACATGAGTTTCTGTTCATTTCAGGAGTTTACTATCTCTCGAAATGAAGCTTTTGTGCTCACAACAACAGATCGCAGGGAGATCGTCAAAGACGTTTATGGTGAGTAATAATTCTGTTCACTCATGAAAATAAGGGAAGTTGTAATGGTGGGACAGCCATCATATAGCATTTCACAGAGTGAAAATGAGAATATGTACACTAATTTGCGGAAATTGAGCTCTTGCCGGTGAGTGCAGCCCAGAAGATCAACATGCAGTGGATTTAGATAAGCAGTAGAACACAAGGATGGTGTGTTATATCACCATAGATCATCACAGCCATCATGTTATTGGTGATTAGGCACAATCTCAAGTATTCTATTGTTTTTATGCCACTATTTTGCAAATTAAAGAGAAAAGTAAAGTAAAGAAGCCCTGACGCTGTTTCAGATATTTGTTTAATGCTGGCAGTTTCATCTGCCAGAAAAGTAGTTCCAGCAGCTTAGAGGAACAAGACCTTTGAATTGACTGCTTTTCAAAAGATTGTGTGCTCTGATCGTGTGTGCTCTGAAGTCATAAACGAGCAGTGAGTGTTAATGGGCCACTTGTACTAGCTATATGTAAGTTCACATTATAACATAGGCTAGGTTTACTACAAGGGTTTCGTTCAGATTTACATGTTACCAAATCAAAATGGGTTGCACCACACAAACAAGTTTTTGTGCGTAGTAGTTATGCAAAATTTGAAGATTTTTGTTCCAAAATATATTATAGACCATATTCAAGAATTTTCTTTTTTTATGATATATGTTGTTTACACAGACATAATATTTCAACACTATATTATGATGAATGCCACTTTTATTAGATAAATAACTGTGTTTTCTTTTATAATGCTGTAATTCTCGTCATTTACACCTACGCCTAAGCAGACATAAGTGTTTAGGAAACTAACAGAAACCACATAGATAAGACATAGAAGACTGAAACATGACAACTTTTTTTTTTTGTTGTTTTATTTTGGCAAAGATAACTTTTACTTAGTAATTGTGTCCCTGAACTCAACATCCACAGCTCCAGTTCTGTGACACTCAGCAGCTACCAGAACTGCTGTACTGATGCGGCTGTTGCATTGGTTGGCACGTTCGGTTGTTTCAAGGAAATTGGTTGTTAAATGGGTGTTTATTGTTTGGCTCTGAAAATGTTATCGTCATGCTAAAATGATGGTGTTTAGCTTTTGCTGCTGTGTATACACTAGTTAAGACATGACATGCAAGCTTAAGTACAAACTTATGGAAAACCGGTGCAACACAGTCTTTGTGTTTTGTGATATGATGCTGTAGGCCACCTGTTGCCTAAATTTGTGCGCGATTAAATGAATAATAATGACATTTGAACAATATAATATGTTTCTATCTGCTTTTAGCCTAAACTATTTAAAATTTACATAACCATGTTTCATTTTCTTGTGATTACATAGGTGAGCTTGCAAATGGAAAAACATTACACCTCCTACAGACTGTGGATCAAGAGTTGGCTACAGCAACTCAAGAGCGAATTAATTATCTTCCCCATTACCACACTATTGTACAGAGTGGCCAGTATGAGTACTATGCCAGCGAAGGACAGAAGGCACTACGTAAGGATAACATGACTCTTGTTCTGTCTCACACGCTTATTCACATGCTTGTTCGCTTTTTTAAACACACTTTTGTCTTCAGTTATTAAGATCTGTTTAATAATGTTGCTTGTGGTTGTATGTTTCAGCCTATGCCTTCGCTGAGCTCATTGATAATGCACTTTCGGCCACCTCACACAATCATGGAGTCAGGAGCATTGACATCAGACTGGTGAGAGCTCAGAGTTGAACATTTTTCCTTATATTAACTTGATTTTCCAGTTTCAGTCCATCTGAAACAGTAAGCTCGTGCTGTGGTGTTTCAGGGATGGAAACAAGCACCCAATGTTTTGTAAGATGTTTGAATATTGCTTTGCTTGTCACAAATCAAACATTTTCTTTCAACACATTGCTTCAGGTATTCAAAACGTCTTGATGAGTTGTAACACCGACTTTTGTATTAACCCTGGCTTTGTTCTTTTTTTTTCTCCCCTCTCTCACTCTTTTTGTTTGTATGTCTATCTGTGTGTCTCTCTGCATGTGTCTATATTTTTCTTCCCTTCTCTTAGTTGTTTGATGAGTCTCAAGGTGGACCGGCTGTAGTGGTGATAGATAATGGTCGTGGAATGACCTCTAAAGAGTTAAACAACTGGGCTGTTTATCGCCTTTCCAAATTCAATCGAGATGACAGCACTTTTCAGAGGTAAACCCAGGCAGGAGTTTAGGCTAGCAACCTTTTGTACTATATGATACTATACTTCTTTTATAAGTATACCTCAACAGATATGAGATAATTTAAGTATTAAAAAACTTACAGTTTCGTGATGTGTTTAAAGCAATGTAAAAGAAAAGGTAGGGTATAGAGCAAAGTTTCATAAAATTGTCATTTTACAGAGTAACATCGAGGTACTTTTTCGTATTTGGTGTGTCACTGCAAATTTGGTCTTAAATTCCGTTTGAAGTGGCATTAAAAGTTTTACAAAGTATTTCATTAAAGTCCAAACACCCTAAATGGTTAAGAAATAAGTGCATTTGAAAACAGCATGAAGTAGCCCACATAGTCACAGTTAGTGTTGGACAGAATACTTTGAAAAAGTATTGATGGCTAAAAAATGACTACACTGTCCTAAATGTGTCCAGTAACAGTTCAATAACAATGTGTTCCTTTACAGAACATAAAAAAAATCTATTAAGAATACATATTTATAAGGCACATGGGAAACTCTGCTGTTGTCATTTCTCTTTAATTCACACTGTTCCTTGCTGTAACCATTTGGCAGTTTTCTTCAAGTAATTTTTCTGTTGATATTCTTCATGAAGAATTTGCTGATTTAAATGAAATTACAAATTTCTCAACATTTTTAGCTCTCATCGCCTGCTTCAGTCCACTACTGCTCACAAACAATTCGCCATATCCCAATAACAAAATCTTGCGAGTTTGTCTGTAAAGTGGGTGGATTTTCACTTAATAGACATGTATGTAACTTGCTACGAAACACATGCGCGAGTCCAATACATCAATGTTAAGCTAATCACTCATGAACATGTCCACTACTAGAGTTCAGTAACACTGAGATTAATACGTGACTCATCACATTGATTCTACTCAGGCTTCTGTCAGTTGATTATGTCAGTCTACTCAGGCTTTAGCAGTGTTAATAAAGAAGCCATTTATAGAGTTCTCCTTTAGAGTATGTCTGTATATATCATGAACTGGTTTTAAAATCAGTGTTTGTTAATAAACAAGCATTGATTGTGTTTCTTTTAAAGATGATACATTTTTAAATTTAGTGGGTAAGTATTCTGAAAGTCATTTATTCTGTCTTCTGAATATTTATTCTGAATACTTGTCCCAAAGCTTTGCCTTAAACAGTCCAGAGCACTGGACGCCTAAAAGGTGCTGTTTGCTAAGAAGTTGTGTCCTGTCACTGGTATTCTGAGATATGCCAAAGATTTTCATAAAGGACCCAGGATTTCACAAGAGCGTAATTGGCTGTAGTGTAATTGGGATCATACCATCCCTCCCAGATATTCTGCAATCGGGCAGAGCCTGATAACGTTGAGGTGCCAAAAAATTCAATGCCTTGACCAAGTTTCAAAGTCTTCCACTGCAGATGTTACTCACTAAATAATATTGTTCAAGAAAACAAAAAACAAAACACATTCCTCTGTTTGTGATCATGGAAGTAGGCTGTAGTGAGCAAGTACATTTACAGATGTATACATTGTATGTGTCAACCAAAAAAAAAAAAACTCATTGCTCTTGGAATAAAATAAATATAGCACCCTGATGAGGATAGGAAAGAAGTAGCAGGAGAGATAATAAAAGATAGGAAGGAAGTTGCTGATATTAAGAATCTTACAACTGTAATATGGAAACAAGTAATAGTAGTAATAGTAGTATGTGTAACAAAGGTCATCAGCTGTATGTGTTGGTTTGTTTTTGTTCTAGTGATCATTCTGGATATGTCCGTCCCAGTCCAGTCCCACGCAGTCTGAACAGTGACATTTCCTACTTTGGCGTTGGAGGCAAACAGGCCGTGTTTTACATAGGCCAGTCTGTACGGGTATGTGCTGCACCACATTCCATTCAGTTGAATCAAATTAGTAATAGAGCAAGTGTCAGCTTATTAAATGGGTTGTGTTGGGTAGACAGCGATCAATTGTGTAAAAGATAAAAAGATTAGCATCCCCAACTTTGTGAGTGTATTCAGGTATGTCACTGGCATGATAATTTTGAAACGTAGAAATGTTAAAACACATTTTATTATTATTGACTAGATTTTACTGTTGGAGTTTTTTTATAAAATTAAACTGAAGTATTTTAAATGAACAACACTTGTAAATCTAAGATCCAAAGCCATGCTAATTAGTTATGAGTTGAATCACATGTGTTTAATGAGACAAAATGCTAAATTCTGCAGAGGTGCTGCCTGGAAGGACTCATTTTGACACCCCTGATTTAGGCTGTAGATTACTGGAATATGGAGTTTTGAAATGATTATTTAGGTTAGTGGTGTTTAACATGGAGTTGTGCCGATACTGGCACTTAAATGTAGCATCAGTGTTGGCGATGGGGAAACCAATACCTACGACCGATACCGCAAAACAATTTCTGATATGCGCGCACTCTGACACATGCATGGGCGCCAGTATACTGATATTAACACAATGGCAGAATGGGTTGACAAGTGGCGGTAAATATGCTCATCAAAATCTGTAACACCAATATTTCTTGGAAAGGCAGTAGTAGTGGGTGATCTTCCTAAGCTATTGGATTCACAGATATGTCACAAATACATCAGATAAGGCAACATACAAACAGTGTAAAACACAGTAACCTTAGCAGCTTACCTCAACAGCTGAGTCATGCTTCATTCAGTAATCACTTATCTGCTACTGTGTAGTCAGTTTCAGTCTCAGATAATGTTTGTCCAGGTTGTTATTGAGGGAGCGAATATTAGAGAGAGACAGTATGGAAGGAACTGCTCTTGGGGTAATGGTAGCCTTTAGTCTGGGTTTAGCCTTTAGCATATCAACCCACTAGCCGGGACTGAGTGTCCACTAGCCCTGCCTGTGGTGCACCTCTATCAGTCAGTTGCATCACGCAGCAGCGGGGTCTCGTGGCCCTTTGCTTCAACAAAGCCAACTCAACCACAACTACTGACAGCGTCAATAACTGTGGTATTTACAGAACTCTAGCAGAGTCTGAAGCTCAGAGAGGAAAGTGTGAGTGAATGAGAAGCACATATGAGACAAACGACTTGAAATTCAGATGTGAAACGATATGTATTCTAACAAGTAAATGCCATTCATTCAAGCTTGATATGTTTTATTAGTACCAATAACAAAAACAGTTTTAAAAGTGGAGTTGTAGAAATATCAGGACTTATAAGCTAGCTATCGGTGCATCCCTTGTTTAAAGTATTTTTTAAGAGTATTTTCTCCTCACTGTATCTTAACTGAACATTTGTTGCAAACTACAGTTCGGTTGTCCTTCTGCTGAACCCATGAAAATCTTTCACACTGCTGAGATTTTCACTGGGCAGCATGAGAGCACGACTAGTTGTGTCACAGCACAAATGGGTGCCAAAATGTTCACTATTTGCACCCTATTTGTGCTTGTGAACGAGTGTACGAGTTGTAATTGCAATATTGAGAAGATAATAATATCCCTTTACAGGCAAATAGTATTTTATTGCTGATATATAGTGCACTCCTAATGTACCTGTAATGCTCCAGTACTTATTGAAGGAGTGTGCACATTTGTTTGAAAGATCTAAATAGATTTTGGCTACACTTGGGAATTTACTGTCTACATTTTTGCAGAAATCCTTACAGGATCTCATGCTTTTTCTAAATGTGCAAAACGTTTAATTCCAAGTACTAGCCATCTCTCTGCTTAGCAAATGCATTGCACAGGAAGGTGCTTTTCAAACACAAATACTACAGGAATGACTCTTGTGTGGTTGAAGCTAGAAATAAATTTGTATGACTGGAAATCCCCACTGCCACAATCAGCCCCACCTAAACCTGAAGTTGAATACAAATCATTAAAAGAGTTTCCCCTAGTTTTTAAAATTTATTTATTAATTAGTGATTTCAATAGTTGACCTGTAGAGGCTGTGCAAATCAAAAGTATCAGTGGTGGTGGAACATAGGGTTAGATTACCATTTAACTGTGGTACAGCATGCTGCAGATACATTACTCTATGGATCTTTCTTCCACAGTGGTTCTAAGTCAGAGTTGAAAAAACATTTTGGACTGACTTGGACTTTGGTCTGAAATCCTTTTGCTTTGAGTGACCCTGTATCTTAATTACATTTATTTTATTAAAACAACCGATTGAACATTTAATTTCGTCACTAACAAAACAATCATAACACTGCTGAAACTTAGATGACTAGCAAACAAGGCGTTGAATAGTTGCACACACAAAATCGTAACATTTTTATTAAAACACATAGAAGTTTACTTAATTGCAGTAGATATTTGTTTCTGTAATGAACGTTCTGTACATACTGGTTTTCAGAATTTGTGACACATTTACGTAAAAACATTGGGATCTAACTGCTTACCATGTGGCCATGAGGGACAGGGATGCAGTCTCACTTCCTGCTCTAAAAATATATATGTTTTTCGTATTTAAAAATTAAGCTAATGATAAATCTTGTCTTTCAACTTCAATTAAAAAAAAAAAAATACAGAAAAATACTATTTTGACAAGTTGAAATTTAGGGGTCAAGATTTGGGACAGCCATTTCCCAATACAAAATGCCATGCCATGGATTTAAACTGATCATAACATAATCATTATAAATATCTAAAGTCTGAGGAGCTTTTTTTGTTTAACTGTGAAATCACAGTTGGAATTAAGTCAGTGGAATGGTCTTTAAACACTTTCAGTGATCACCTTTTACATTTAATACTACTATTAGTACTAGTACTGCTGCTAATATTAATAATAGATCTTTATTTATGGGCTACCTGTTATTTCACTGCTTTCATTTGCTGTCCTACTGTAGATTATGAGTAAGCCAGTTGGATCTCCAGATGCACATGAGTTTGTGATGTCTAAAGAAGACTTTGAGCAGAAAGAAAAAAACAAAGAGGAAATTTATTCTGGCATTATCCGGAACAGGAAGGTAAAAACATCATGCTAGTGTAACACTGCATTTTTACAGATGCCATAATTCGTTACTGTCCAAAATAACTTGTATTTCCAACCTTCATAACTTTTTATATTATTTGGATTTTATTCCAGGTAATTTTGTAGTAGTTCTTTGTCCATTCTTCGTAAAATGTAAAAGGCAGTTCCTGTGTTCAAATGATGTAGAAAAATAAATATCTAAAAAAATGGAGCGACATGGTTTTTGTTTTGTTTTTGGACAGCTGCGATTTATGTCTTGCTTACTATTGGCTTACTGATATTTTCTTTGTGCTTACCTAACACCTCTCTTAACTTTCTTGCACACTCTCTGTCTCTCTGTCCTACACACAGCCTGGGGACTGCTCTCATGTGAGAGTGGATGAAGAGCGTTTCTTGCACTCACTCATTCTGGAAGAACAGAGCAAAGAGAGTTTCACTGCTATAGTCATAAGTAGAATCCAGCCAGAGCATGTTACCTACCTTAAACAAGACTTCACCTTGTGGACTAGGGAGTTGGCGTGAGTGTCTGATGTGAATGCAGCATGAACACTGTCAAATCGTTCTCTGAAACCACTATGATAACATTTTTGTCCTATTGTTTATTTATTTATTCCTATTTAAGGCACATCTATCATTACTATGTTCATGGTATCCATGGAAATGACATGAGAAACTCGAGAAGTGCTGAATCTACGTCAAACATTGACATACAGGTATGTCAATGTAAGTTTAAGTGCATCTATAAGAAAAAAAAGTGTTCAAGAAATTTGTTTTTATGTTTTATTGTCACTTTCAGGACAGAACCTTGTATCTCTTTTTTGTCATTGTTTTTGTATTTTTACTTAACTTGTAAACACCAACTGCCCTTTACAGTGTGTACAAATTTCACAATGAATGGACTAATAAAAAGGTCAAAAAAAGTATTGTTACACCAACTTGCTATATAAGATATGTTTTTTCTTTCTCTTAAAAATTTACCATTTTGGAAATACAAGGTTTCGTTTTGACAACACAGATATGTTTTTTTGTAATTTTTTTTTTTATTTCAACATTATAGCATTACAAAGAAGCTAAAGATCACTCAGTGTTTAACGACTGAAGTTAAATTGAGGCACAGATGAATATTACTCCACGCAGTGCTGTATTTTCTCATGTTTTGTCCCTTTTGATGCATGTAAAATCGAAAATAAAGAAACCTCTGGCCTATATTATGGTGCTTGAAAAAGGCAACAGATAAATATTCTGACAAATCCTGCCTCTCTGTTACTGTTGTTATGTCTGTCATGCTTTCAGCTCAGGCCACCTGCTAGCACCTTGTAATACTTGTGCTAACAAACGAAAAACCTCAGTAGCATAAGGAAAGATTTAGAACAGAACAGTACATTTTAAAAATGTATATGCAGATTGCTGTATTCAAAAACTAATGATGTCATTAATTTAATTAGATTCTGATTCTAATTTAATTTGAATCTGTCATATTACATCACAAGCCTTTTGAAGCTAAACCCTATAATATTAAACAGCATCTGATTTTCTTTCTCTTTTAGATCTGCCTGATTGATCGATCCCCTCGCTTGCCAAGACTTCTTAATCTGAGAGAGATTGATAATGATATGCAGACTCTTTATATAAACTCCAGTGTGGCAGAGTTTGAGTTTAAAGCCAGTAAAGGGGGAGACGCCAGAGTAGAAGGACTGATCAGATATCATCCTTTCCTGTATGACAGAGAAACATACCCAGAGGACCCATATGCCTTAACACCAGGTATGCATTATATGTATGTGTCTGTGTGTATATATAATTATTTGGCTGCAACAAATATTTGGTAAAATAGAGAAATTGGATAATTACTAAATTATACAATTTATCAAAAAATATATATATATTTTACCACTTTTGTGGTACTTTTACCACACTGATGAACCCAACTTTGTTTATGAAGCCAGTGCCAGCTTGTCACCAGTACCACACAGCTGTCAGTTCTGTCAGTTCTATTTGGAGATGTTTCCTCTATTCTCCAGCACTTCTCATTACTGTTCAAACAGGAAAAACGATGCACAATATTATTATTACTACTACTACTGACAATAGTAATAATAGTAGTAGTAATAATAATAATAATAATAATAACATAAAATATTCCAATATTTAACTTAATATTCAATAGAATATTTTAAAATAAAAATATTCAGTAATTCCTAATTTATACCAAATTTAGTAGATGGCTACACTGGGAAATTCATTGTTGTGCCTTACACAGAAACTATACATACACTGCTACTGTGCATATAATTTGCTCAAACATGGAAACCTACCAAGGATCATGTCAGTTAACAGAATAAGGTATAAACAAACTGGAAGGTACGGTGTGCAGCAGAATATGATGCATGTTATTTAATCTACAATGCCTGCACCACCTATAACATACCTTGATGCCACTGGACAGTCAGACAGAACATGATGTAAATGTATGTATTACATTAACAAATTTATGTTAATCCCATACAGACCCCATATTCTCCAATTACTATCATATATTTCTGACAGCCAACTATCATGACTTTAGTACACATTCCATTTATAGAGTGTAGGTATTTGTAAGGTGGTGAGGTTTATTAGTTAAATGTAGCTTTGTGATTCAGGGCTTCCATTGTAAGTGTTCATTTGTTTTTTTAATTATTTTTTTCTTTCAACACACATATATCAAAGGCTGGTCAGTATTACAGGATCATGACATTTATAAAAGTTAAAGGAAACTTCTAAACTCTAAATGGCCTGATTTGTCTATTTTAAATATACTTTCTTAAATATACTTGCTTTGCATTCAGTAATTATTTTGCACAAAAAAACTTGTGGCTTTGGTTGAAGTCTTGTAGTCTGTGGTTGGTGGTGTTTTCCGTTTCAGATTTGACATGGAAATTACTTGTGTCTAAATTTCTATTTGTGTGTCTGTTACAGTTGCAGAGAATGATGATGATGAATGTTTTGTCTTACACGCCGAGGGCCGAGGAAAAAGACCCATCTTTGAGTGCTTCTGGAATGGACGATTAATTCCTTATTCTTCTGTTGATGAGTAATAATGCCTCATTTATACAAAGTTCTCCTATACACAAGGGGCGTTCTGGCCTAAAACTAGCATTTACTATGCTATTTGTTATATGGTATTCTGTGCTGCGTTGCATCCCTCAGCCTCATCAGTTTGACTGAATTCACAATTTTGAGTGATTTTTGTCCATCAGTGTCCTCTCACTACAAATACATTATGAGACTAATGAGAATCCACTCCCACAATAAAGAAATCCACTGATGTAGAGGAAAAAAAATACAGACATGATATTTGGATTCCTAGCTGTAACGTTCACTGTGTGGCAGGGGAAAAAAAATAGCCCACCCTCAAGGATCTGCACCAAATCACAGTTTCTTCATAAGTTTCTCCCACTTTCAAGATTCATCATGTGAAGAGATTTTTGTAAACTTTAAACTGGGAAAATCTCACTCTTGGGACTATTGTGGCACCACTGTAGGAGGCTATTGGGCATGTTTACAATTTATAGAGCAGTGGTTGCATTTCTAATTTATTCTAAACTGTCCAATAAACGCACTTTTAAAATATAGTTATTATATTATTATATTATATGTTATTATAAAGTTGGCAGTTAAAACAATTTCTCACCATTGTCCTAATGTGATGAATGTTTAAAGCTCGTTTTTTTACTGTTTTGTTACCTCAGTCTTTTCTTCTGAACAAAGAATGTCTGTGTTTGTTTTGTTTGTTTCAGGTTTGAGTGGTGTGCAAGACCCAAGAAAGTTTGTACAGTTCCATTAGAATGCTACAACAGGATCTCGGGCGCCCTCTTCACTAATGACTATTTTCAAGTCAGCACCAATAAACTAACGTTTATGGATCTGGAACTACAGCTACGAGACAAAGAAACTATCTTTACCAGAGTTCTCAATGGCCAGGTAATGCGTAAATACACTCTTGACTAGTTAGAGGTAGTTGTGATGCATGTTAGTGTTCAGTTATATGTTCTTGTTATGTGTGCAGGAAAAAAAGCATTGTGTGTTTGTGCCACAGTCAGAAAATTGCTGGAGATGCTACAGTTTAAATGCTTTAAGAAATCTTAGACTCCCATTTTAACAGATTTTACTCTACTTTTCCCCTGCAGTAGTTTTACTTTATTCTTCCTACTTTCATTACCTTAAAAAGTTTTTAATTTGACATAATGGAGTCATCTACTTGAGAATTTAACACAGTCCACAAAGACCCAACGCGTGTGAGAAAATGGATGTGCAGGAAATACAGCAAGTTTCAAGTTTCAATACTTCATTGCCATATTAGTCAGTACTTGACTCAGCGGGATTTCTTTCAGTGCTGCTTTAATACACAAACAATATACATTCATTCACAACATTCATAATCTCATTCAAATAACCTAAACAAGGAGTTCAAAAAACAGCACATTACAGAAAGTTTGTCCAGGATTATTTCTAAAGCATTACTTGATTAATCATTTTGTTAAAGCAGAATTTAAACTTTTTTCACAACTAATTCACTTATTATATCATATTATTTTATATTATACTGTAAAGTATTCTACCACCTCCATAGTGACCTTGCACCCTAAGGTTCAGTATTTTCCTTGCTCTCACATATGCATTTGCAACCCAACCTGGTCAAAAGTGTGTGAACACCCCTTCTAATGAGTAGGTTTGGCAGTTTCAGCCACACACACACTTTACAGGTGCATACTGCCATGCAATCTTATGAACATTAGCAGCAGAATGGGTTGTACTGAAGAGCTTGGTGACTTTCAGTGTGTCACTGTCAGAGGATACCACCTTTCCAAATGCACACAAGCCTAGGATTGCCATGTGCAATGCCAAACATTGGCAGGAGTGGTGTAAAGTACATCACCATTGGACTCTGGAGCAGTAGAAATGCATTCTCTGGAGTGATGAATCACACTTCACCATTTGCTAGTCTAATGGACAAATCTGGGTTTTCAGATGCCCAAATGCAAAGTGCCAGCAGTAAAGTTTGGTGGAGGAGGAATAATCATCTGGGTGTATTTTGCATAGTTAGTGTTGGGCCTCTTAGTTCCAGTGAAAGGAAATCTGAATGTTAATGCTCTATATCTATATTGTTACAATGACGTAAAGAATTGTATGCTTGCAACTTTGTGGCAACAGTTTGGAAAAGGCCCTTGTGAATCATTTTTATGAAGCTTGCTATTGGTTGTCTCTCTTGCAGGAGCAGAGAGTGAAGATCAATCGAGAGTTCACTGCTTGGTTGAAAGAGTGCCATGAACGATATGATAAACAGGTGAGAGGGAGATTTCCATTATTCAAGTGTTTCTAAGTTCAGTTATTTTACCATTAAACAGAGCAGATATAAAAATTTGGCTGCTGGCTTATAGGTTGTGTGACACATAGACTTTATATTCATTTTGTTGTTTGTGACAGGTGAAGTTCATTGGTTTCCAAGGTACAATGACTCGCACAGATGTTTCAACTAAACGGTTGCAGTCACCGTGGGCTCGGTTCAAAGCCATCCACTGGGATGGCAAAGTCTACAAGACAGGACAACAAGTGAGGATTTGATGCAAACACAAGCATGTGCTTTGATATTGTGTCATTGGTGCTGTTTGATATGATATACATACTAATTGCATGCCATTGTTACAATAAATGTTTCTATTAAAATTGAATTTGGATGTTCTGTAAATTTTCACATGCATGTTGGACGGCATGATCTCATTCAGTGTCACTTACATCATGCCCACTAAACAGGAAGAAACAACTTTGAGGTTATTCAAGAAGGCACACGCTGCTATAGACAAAACATTTAATGTGCTGAAAGTACAAACAACTGCTAGATTTGGCTACATAAGCAGTGACTGTTAATCTTATTGAGTCTCTTTCCCTTTTTCAGGTGAAATCAGTGAAAACTCAACCTATTCTGTTTGGTACCATAGTTCAGTTTCTGCTCTATGGAGACCATGAAGGAGACGAGTACGCCACAGGAGGACACGTGCAAATTGCATTGGTAGGAGATAACATGAGTTTTTGACTTTGTCTGATTGTGTGTATGTATGCATGTTAATAACTAGATGATTTGCAATAGACATTTCCATAATAAGGTTTAGGTCCATGTTTTAGATAATTGTAATCATAAAGTTAATATACCTTTCAACACACAACTGGAAAGGAACACACATAGTTCAAATTGTAACTTTCACATACCATAAAATACTATAACAATTGTCTATTTGTGCAAGTATAAAAAATAATTTGTGGAAAGAAGACCGTCTATAATGCATGCTGCTAAGCAGCAAAAGCTGAGTCGCCTGCTAGTGTCATACAACACTAAGACAGTTTGAGCAACCTGTGGCCCTTGGTGTTCGGAGTGCAGGTTTCATTCTTAACCAGAAGCCCCCTGACCGACTGCTCAACTTGTATGCTATTTCTGTACACTGGTTTGGTATCTAAAGTAGGGCTTGACTTGTATATCAGTTGGCTGAGCATAGTGGCGGCCTGTGATTTGATCTGTACTGGTGAAAATATTGCAGATAGAGCTGGGCGATATGGCCAAAAACGTTATCACGATAAACAAAATTTATATCGTTCGATAGCGATACATATAGCGATAAATGTCAAATCATGATTTCTTTCACGTTTGAAGGCAGATTTTGCTCCTGGGTGGTTAATTGTGGTTTTAAACTATCACTTATGGTCGGATCATGACAAACACTCGGCAAACAGTGGAACATTTCACTAATCTGTCTTGGGACAGTGGGAGAAAGTTTCTGAGCTGTTTTATCAGCTTGAAAAGCACAGCTGCAATTTTTGTAATAGTCATGATTTAAGAAAGAAAACAGATTATTTTTAGCTGTCTGGTGACGAGCGCTCGGCTACCCTGTTACAAATGCTAAACAAGTGGCCAACAACAGTGCTAAACTCTTTAGTTTCTCAACATCGTCAACTCGGTTCGGGAGGTCACTGCTGTCACTCCTACCACATCCATGTCAGAGCAGATCACAGTATTCAGACACCAGCTAGCGACGACTGGGTTTCTCTATGCTATCGTAGTAGTTTAATGGGTGAACCGCAGTGTATCTGACGTTCGCTGTGTAAAAGCATTATCTGCAGTGTGAATCTCTCACACCAGTCACAGAGTCCTCCTTTTAGGTATGTTTAAACTGAAAGCGGTGATTTTGTGTCTTGTTTGATCTACAGTATCATCAATTCACCGTGTTTTGCCGGAGCGCTGCTTCAAGTTAGCCAGCAGCTAAAAACAGCTAGCCTGGAAAGACAGCGCTCTCCTGCTCTCCAATGCCTCACAGCTTCCTCAGTTTACTTTCGAACATGAACCCACTTCTTTCTTTCACTTTCGTTGCTCGAGAATGCACTAATACTAAAATATGACGGTTTGGCGCTGTAACACGGCGCTGCAGACGTGATTTAACACCGCTAAAGTTGTTAGGATGCACGGAAAGAGGTGAGTTCAGTTACACCACTGACCTCGTCACTCACACTCGGTCGCAGCAGAACAGATCGCCGATAACATCCACTCAGACAGGGAATGTATAACTCCACGTTTCAGCCGTTGCTAAAGTATATTTGGCGACCTTTTTTACTCTAGGCCCCCTCCCTCTCTAATCAAGTCGAAAAATTCGGAAGTGCCCCCTCTCCTGGCGACAGCAGAGTAGTGTCGCTTTCCTTACAGTAGAAAGCGCCACCAGGGCTTTCGCTAAAACGTGGAAGTGTGAGAATGGTGTATTATATCGAACATTTATCGAACCTGTCTTATCGCTCTATTGAGGAAAAGTTATATCGCAATACTTATCGTTTTATCGCCCAGCCCTAATTGCAGATAACAGGTAATTAATGCTGATAATTAATGACTTTTGTTGAGATTCGAGCTTGCAATCTCCTGATGATGGGGCGAAACCTTAAACAGGTATACCACTGGGAAACCCAGTATGAGGCACTTACTATTTAACTGTAGACTGCGATACAGGCTGAACAGTAGGATCTGAACACAAAACACATGGTTAGAATAACAAAAACACATATAATATGTCCAAATCTTACTTTTAGTATTAGAAAACCACAGTGATTATGGGTAGCTGTATCTCTATTGCTATAATATTAATGTTATTTAGCACTGTATGTTTCTTTTATTTGAGTTTAAAAATGTGATAATTGAGAACTGACTGTCTTGTCAGTCAGAAAAGCTCTGTTTAGGAAAAACTACTGAGGTATTACTGTACATTAACGTTTAAATTATAAATATAGCAGGATTTTAGCCCCTTAAAATCAGTAATCTGTAGAAACCATCCTATGAGTCAAGTTCCTTATTGCTATATCACATTGAATCATGCAGCTAGAAAGACTCTGACTTTGCCTGCCCACATTCGCTTACAGTTTGTGTTGATTCTTTAGAACTTCAAACACAGCACTGTAACAGGTAGTTGTAATTATATTTTTTTGATTTTCAGTTACATTATTTAGAATACAGTGGATGATTGTCATTTGAATACATAAAACTAAAATGTTTAACTTGTCTGTGTTTGCTTACAATGCATTGCAATCTATAGTAGAAGTAAACAGGGTGCATTATGTGTCCACAGGAACCGAAGGAGCTCTATAATGAGATTAAAACCATCCCCATATCTAAGATTGACAGACTAGCAACAGCTGCTGCCATCAGGAAAAGCATTGATGATGAACTGGCCAAGTAAGTAAACTAGTTACTGTTTTAGCAATTCTAGTTTAATGTTTTCACTGGAAACATGCTTTTTAATGATAATATCATAATGTTGATTTAATCAGTGTTGGTATCTGCCATCTGCCTTATCAAGTCATTTTTTTCTTTCCCATGTGTAACTGAATATTCATTCAGTAATACTTACCGATAATATAGCAATGCAGAAGGCATTACTGTTAATGCTGGTTTAATATCAGTAGCACTTTACTAATGTGATATCAGAAGGTGTCATGGTTTACAAAATTAGAAAGAGTCAGGTAGAACTCTTCAGTGTCCTTCACAGTGATCACATGTCCTCTTTCAAGGGATCAATGCATGATGACTTGCTAATTAGTTCTTCAGTTACCCCCCTTTGAAGTCTTTGCATATGGTATCTGCTTTGCTTAAATAACTGATAATTGAGGTTCATTATAAGATGGAAAGTTAAGCTCAAACAAAGCTGTACTTTGTGAATGGGTAGTATTTACATTTGCAGTGTAATTTTTTCTTTCTTTCTCATAGGCTCCCCGACCAATTGAGGATTACATGGCCAGAGGGAAATTCATGGCCTGATAAAGCTATTCGACCAGCTGGCACGCCCTTGGGTACGCACATGTGCCTACACACACTTGCAAGCACAGCAGTACACATTTCGAATGCATCTCACAGTTATATACATGCACATGCAAACTCACTGACTCAACTTCACCTGCAGTCTCCAGCACCAGTAATGCTACAAACCAAACCTATTTACATGTGGTCACTGTCCAGTTGTCTCAGCCTAACAAGCTTTGTTTTTTCACCTGTCCTACTTAAGGTCCAATCCAAGTTGAGATTTTGAACAAGAAAGGAGAAACCATGTCACGATTGCCAGTAGCTAATGTTAATGCAAAGAAACTCCTGATCGAGCTCAAAGTCATCTGGCACTGTAAGTTCTGTCGTTTGTTTTGTTTTGTTTAGTTTTTTTCATTTTTTTTTAGATCTAATGTCTTTTGACCATTATCCTACTGTTATTACTCAGTGATTAACTGTTAGCTGGAAAGCCTAAATTCAAGAATGCAACCCATCAGAATGTTAGTTATAAAATGGATTGTTCTAGTTATGAAATTTGATTGGTCAAGCTACGTTGGAAGCTGTTGTAAAATACTTGATATATGTAAACCTATGAGCACACACATCAATTGAGGATTAATCCGCTGAGGTCTTCCTTGTATGGAGCATGAAATGTAGTACTGATAGGTGGGGTCAAGCATCAGCATGTATATGAAATAAGCAACCCAAAACTGTATTAAACAATCCCTACATAAGAACCTTGTTTTGTTTAAACCATGGGGCTGACAACTGTATTTATGCTTATATGACTAAAATCTAAAAAGTTGACAAAATGGTTAGAATATGCAGTGATGGGCTGCTGCAAGTTATGTTTACCACTTCATGCTTATGTAAGCTAAAACATACATAAATGCCATATCCGGGGCTACCTGTGTGTCACTGTATCTTAGTAGCTTTAGAAAGCTGTCATTGTCCACCATGACCTTCTTTATAATTTTCATTTCCTCAACTGCCATGCAGCATGCACCATTAGTGACCATAGTTGTCTGTCTTACTGCTTGTGGATGTTTGCTTTCAATATGGTACGTTGTTGTATTTGTATCGTAAAGTGATCCTGAACGACGCTATTTTTAGCTGTGCGCTTAATTTTTCAGTAGGCCTGTCTAGCAGAACCAGTTGCTAATTGCACCAAAAAAAATCCTTTAACTTTAGTTTGTCTTTTCAGATTGTAACTGTTGTTTATGTGAAATGAAGTTAAATGAAGTTAAATTACCTTTTTTTAATCGATATCAGTTGTCAAACAACTGTTAATTTGTCTGTGAAAGGTTATTCATTTGCGTCCATGAGCAATCCATGAGCAGGTTTACTAAATAATAAATTCTCTGTAAGTGTGCATTTAAGTGTTTATTGTATATTTTATTCTTTTCTCCTAGCTCCTAAAGGGGACGTCCCAACCAGCTCTCACATTGGTGTGCACTCCTCCAAGTGGGAGTACTGGTTCAAAGTAATGGGTAAAGACATAATATACCAACAGAGCACACACAATCCCACCCAATGTTAATTGAAGTTTTTTTTGGGTAGTGAATCTGTGTTTTTAATATAAAGGTAGAAAATCAAGATGTGCTTTTTTTAACAGTAGAAACTGTTCAGCATGTTCTCTGTTCATCCTCAGTTAACTTCCTATAAGCAGTTTACACAGTTAATCAGCAAAACTAATGATGTGGTGAAACTTTGTGAAATTCTGCTGTTTCATACTGCTGTATTTTTGACACACTCATGGTGATACGAAATAGTTTTATAGCTTTTTGACAGAAACAAAGCATTTGTGCTGTCGTGTGTGCAGGTTTTAGCTACAGGGTTTTGTTTTTTATATGTTCTCATTGTGTATGTGCATGTGTGTTTTCAGAAAACTTGAATAAGTTGGGAAAGTACACACTTCAGCTGCAAACTATATTGAGTGATGGCGAATCAGCCAGTGAATGGGCCGGTAAACGACTGCCTCACTATACACTCCACTTCACTATTAAAGGTATCTCAGATTTACCTTTTTCAATTTACAACACATTAAGCCTGTGTTTATCTAATCTGAGCTTAGCTACATTTTGTCTCTTTCACAAAGTGATATGTTGTTGTGTTTTTTTTAAGCACGTATTTTACAAAGTTTCAGTGAGAAGCACTTGCATTGCAAAGGTCCACATTAGCTTAAAGAATGGTAATTTTGAAGAGAGCATATAACTTCTGTTTACCTTGTGTAAACATTCATTTGATATAACTAATTTTATGTGAGATTGAGTAAGTTGCACTTTAATGTCTAAGGTTTGCATGGGATTAGTTTCCAAGGGCAGATGGAGAAATGCCAGTTTACCACAGAACGTCTGAAATGCTTGCAGGATAAGAATTCTCGGTACAAATGACAGAGATGGGATGAGTGGCCACTCGATTTACACATTGACGTTACTCCATAAAAGTGTAAAAGATATATCAAAACATTTAATTGACCTTATTTACAGTTATCATCTATGTTGCTGTCATAGTACAGAAGAGCTACACAACTCAAGATTAAAGTTGTAGGGTCAGGTGTTAGTTGTAGTCAATCTGCAGGGTAGTAGATCCTTAAAAGCAGGACTGGACTCCTAAAGCCACATATGAGAAACAAGTTTCAGCTACCTTGTTTGCATTTTGTGTTCATTAATTTATTGGTTTTACTTAAAGGGTATTTGAAATGTTACCTTATTGGAATTCACTTTTGATTTATTGTTTATTGATTTGTCTCTCTTTTGTATTATTTTGTTCTTTCTCTCAGAAAGCAGTGCAGCAGCCTTTGTGTTTAGTGTAGTTCCCTCATCTGTTCGGGTGGGGGTTCCCTTCTCTCTGCCTCTGGAATTTAGGGATGAGTTTGGCCATCCAACTCAGCCCCCCTCTGATATCAAACCCCAGCTAGAGTGCAGGTAAGCTGCAGAGCAGTTAGACATGTGTTGGCACTCTAAATTCTACATTAAAATATTTCCCAGAGACAGACCACTCATTTTAAGTTTCTTACATGATGCAGTTTAAGACCACAAGGTGGCATACTGTTTTTGTTTTTTGTCCATGGTGATCCAATTAATGGGAAAACTAGGATACAGCAAGCATCCACATTTAAAGCTGTCAGATAACTATGTTCAGTACTGTGCAAAAGTCAGAGACCATCCTTCATGTATTTAATTCCCAGTAAAAAAAAAAAGCCATTTTGTACAAGTTATTCATTCTTCAGGAGATACTTCTGAGATTAGATATAAAATAATCCAGCTGCATAGGCAAGGACAAAGACAGATTACCACAATAACAACAAATAAGAGCTCATTATTTTATACCTTAACAACAGTGCAAGACCTGGTATACCACCAATACAGCCACCATCAGATAAACAGTACTTAAAACTTTTCATCTAGATGGCTGTTTTGACTAGACTGTAAATAATTAACAGTTGGTCCCTGTCTTTTGCACCTTACTGTATATTCAACTCTATTAAGCTGATAAACCCCAAAATTTAGTTAGCCATAATTTAGACTTTCAGAATTTTGTGGTAATGCTTTACAGGGACTACATGTACTTGCATTGTTCATAGCATATTCCTGAACAGTACAGTAAAACTCTTTTATTGTTGTGTACTCAACTTTCATTAAATGCATTTGTTAATGAGAAATGAACATATAATGTAATGGTTTGAAAACATACTCTGTGGTGGATAGAATATACTTTGTTTATGAACAGATTAAAATCTATTCAATGTATAACGATCCAGTGATTTTAAGCACACTGTAAGTCTTCATGACTGTAAAGCATTCAAGACTTAAACTTAGGCAAATGACAATGCCTACATGCACCTGAACTGTTCCTGTTGCATTACGAACTGTGCAGTCACATTACAGTAAAAAGTTTGTTATTGCTCTGGTTCCATGCTGCTAAGTAGAGCTCTTTTTCATTACGGTTGTTCTGCGGTAACAGTGTTTTAGTGAAGTCTTAAGGGTAGGAGGCTAATGGCTCAGTATCCAGCTGAAAATATTACTCTTTCAAATGTAATTTTTATTATCAGCAGTGACAACTTTAACTATATCAAGCTAATACATAAAACTTATACATAACACTGAAAGTCAAATAATGCTCATGACATTCGCTGTAAATGAACAGAATGCAGTGTAAGTACTGTAGAGTATCTCATTCTCACTGACTTCTCTCTGTTTGAAGCTGTAAGAGCAAGATAAATGTATTGTCTTGTTGTATTACAAGAGGTCTGAGACTGTTTGGACATGCTATAAATTGTAAAATCATCATGAAAAAAGGGTGAATAAATATATTTGCTCCTGTTAATTCCTGTATAATACACATCACACATTCATGATGATCACCTAATGAAATATTAGTGAATATTTTATGTAATGTATAGGAATGTGAAATGTCATTAATTCTTTTTATATGTTATTGATGGAGCAGAAATGAATTCAATATGGTTATCTTTTGAGTATCATGTGCTGAGAATCATATTTGTTTCCTTAAAAGATTGACTGCGTATTTTAATGTGATCCACTAAGCATAACTGGGTGTGTTTTCAATTCGTTGCATAATACACCATTGAGGCAACACATTGTGACCACTCACAGATGACGCAAATAACGTTGATTGTCTTGTAACAGCGACACATGTCGATGTCTGGGATTTATTAGACGGTAAGCAAACAGTTGGTTACCATAGTCAGCATGTTGGATGTGGGAGAAATGGGCAGGCGTGAAGGGCTGAGCGACTTTGACAAGGGCCAAATTGTTATGGCCAGACCACAAGGTGGCATACTGTTTTTGTTTTTTGTCCATGGTGATCCAATTAATGGGAAAACTAGGATACAGCAAGCATCCACATTTAAAGCTGTCAGATAACTATGTTCAGTACTGTGCAAAAGTCAGAGACCATCCTTCATGTATTTAATTCCCAGTAAAAAAAGCCATTTTGGAGCATCTTCGAAACTGCAAGGCTTGTGGGATGCTCCCAGTCAACAGTGGTGAGTGCCTACCAACAGTGGTCCGAAGAGGGACAAACCACGAACTGGCAATGAGGTGATGGCAGAAGGGCTACTGTGGCACAAGTCACAGAGATTTTTAATGATGGTTACAGGTGGAATGTGTCACAACATACAGTTCATTACACCCTGCTGCATATGGGGCTGCATATGGGGCACAGACCAAAGCACACATCTAACCACATGTCCACTGTCGAAAACGCCTACAATGGGCACGCAAGAGACGTAACTGGAACTTGGAGCAATGGAAGAAGGTCGCCTGGTCTGAAGAGAGCCGTTTTCTTTTACATCACCTGGACGGGCGGATATGTGTGCGCCATTTACCGGGGAAAGTGATGGCACCAGGATGCACTGTGGGAAGGAGACATGCCAGTGGAGGGAGTGTGATGCTCTGGGTGATGGTTTGCTAGGAATCTCTGGGTTCATGTGGATGTCAGCTTGACATGTACCACCTACCTAAATGTCGTAGACCACGTACACCCCTGCATGGCAGTAGTGTTCCCCAGTGGCAGTGCCTCTTTCAGCAGGATAATATGTCCTGCCATAGTGGACACATTGTTCAGGATTGATATAGGAACATGACCAAGAGTTCAAGGTGTTGGTGCCCAGGCGTCCAAATTCTTCAGATCTCAATCCAGTTGAGCATAGCTGGGATGTGCTGGAATAACACATACCACACTCACCTCAGCAGCTTCACTTCACAACCTACAGGACTTAAAGAATCTGCTACTAACTTTCTGGTCCCAGTTACCACAGAGTAACTTCAGAGGTCTCGTAGAGTTCATGCCTTGGCTGGTTGGAGCTGTTTTGCCGGCACGTAGAGGACCAGCAGCATATTAGGCAGATGGTCACAATGTTTTGCCTCATCAGTTTATGCTCGTTACTTATAAGAAAATATATTTAATGAACCTTTTAAAATGATAACACACTGTTCATGAATATGCTATTAATTAATGTATATGAAGTTTCTGTAAAGCATTACTGAATTTGCATTACTTTAAATGCTGTCCCCCTTTTGTTGTTGTTTTCTTGTTTTAGTCTTAAGTCATTTAGAGTGAAACTGCTTCAAAACACTTTGAATGACTTTTATGTGTTGTATTTCTTGTAGTAGTATTATTTATTGATTTGTTTGTTTACTTGTTTACTGTGGCAACATGCAAACAAAACTATCTCTACAGGATAAACTTCTTGTGCATTTGACAAGAAAGCTCTGAATCTTGAATCTGGATGACTAGATGACCTTTTGAGATTATGTATTCAATGATATATCCAGGTGTTCTTGAGAGTTTTCTTTACTCCAATGACTATATTTAACTAAATCACTCTTCTTTTTCTCTCACTCACTCAAACATGTGCACGCACATTGACACAAAACTAGTTCACTACAGTTGAGTTATGAGCAGACAGCTTCAAGTGGAACTGCATTCACCATACAAGACCTGAGAGCCAGGGGTAAAGTAAAGAACCATCAGGAGAAGGTTAGTGAGTTTTCACCTCTGTGTGTGTGTGTGTGTTGCATTCCAGTTCTGTTTACCCTTCTTTCATTGTATGCCTTTATTATTCCCCAAATTTGCTAAATATTGAATCTAAACCATCATAAGGCAGTGATGTGATTGCCAGACACAGTGTGTGTCTAGTATTTTAATTGGTCTTGTGAAGTTCATTAAGTTCATAACATTTAATCTGCACATGCTTTTGACAGATGCATACTGTGAAGGTAATGATCCCGGGCCTCAGACAAGACTGCCAGTCTTTTCAAATGATTGTGCGCCCAGGTATGAATACGCATACAGTGATATATACAAAACACATTAAGTGAAAGTGAACGTTTTTAGAAGTTTATTTTATAGCAGTCCTCCTGTTCCACAAAGAAGTTTAGGCCATGCCTCAAGTTATATTCAGCAGTCTGAGCATTGTCCAAAAGGGGGACCACTCAGACCACTTTTGTGAACGTCACTGAAAGAGAGCAAACCCAAACCAGCAGGATCCCACAGATGGACATATGTTTTAGTTACAAATTGCATGAACATGAAGTAAAACTAGGTGTTTGCTGTTGCAAATGATGTGTATATGAAGTAAAAATGGATATGAAGTAAAAAGGTTTCATTTAACTAAGTCTAGACTAGGCTTGGCAGACTGCTAACAGGCTAACATGTTACTGTTAATATTCAGAGTTAAGCTAAACTGAAGGATTAACTGTAAAAATACTAAATACAAAGTATGCCATTTGAATGTCTGTAGCAAGCTTCAAATGTCTGTATTTAAGTAGCACTTAAACCCTGTGGGGGAAGTTAATGTACACAACTGCTAGCTTGGGCTTGCCGCTAATGTGACACTGAAGTTTCCGTACAATTGATAGAAAAATTGCCATTATCATAGGAGTGATACTCAAGTTACATACAAAGTGAATATTTCTGCAATAAGGTCTGCTATATAGGGTTATGTAGCCATGACAAGTTCATGAAATGATTGGCTAAAAGCATCCTTAAAAATTTCTCTAAATTTCTTAGCAGTAAAATAAATTTACGGATGCCTGTGGACACCCAGAGAATGTGTGCTTTATATTCTCCTTTTGGTCTCTCTTACAGGAAGAGCCTGATGCACATACATATTTCTGTGCATTTTTTGTCTGAATTGTGGTCAAGGGCTTCCTTTTCATCTTTTTCAGTAACATATGTTGGAATTTTTTAAAGGATCTGCGTAGTATGTTGTAGTTATTGTTCAGTTAAAGCTATTTTTATTGTTTGGCCTTAGAAAAACTTTATACACAAATCATCATTTACTCGATTACTAATATAATTGATATTGACAGTTCTAATTAGGTCATCAGCAGAACTATACAAGTTTCTTAATTTGAGAAGCAAAAATTAATTTTTCTCTGTCTGTCCATAAGGTCCTCCACATCAGCTGGTGGTGTCGCCTGAAGATGAAGTCTCTATAGAGAATGGGTCACCTGCACCATTCAAAGTGGAAGTTCAAGATGAGTTTCAGAACATCACAGCGCATCCCAAACTTATTGTCCGTTGCCAGGTAACACATCACCCAAATCATTCACTCAGTCACACACTCAACACTATGACCAGAGTGTAGACACACGTTTTGTTTTATGTGTATACCCACACTCACACATGTAGAGCCCCTTAGCGCACTAAAACTTCTCATTAAAAAAAAATCTAAAAAACTTTTAAATATGCATGTGTGAAATGAACTTAAGTTTTGATTCAATTTATGTTTTTTTTATTTTTAGTTCATTTTCTGTAAAGAATTTTCATTAATAAATTTAGTTGTAGCTTTTGGTTACCGTAATAATCCAGATCAGGAATTCTTACTGCTCTAATTGTGTGTGTGTGAGACATTTTATAATTTGAATTGAGTTTGTAGGGATGGAAAAGGCACAAAAATTGCTCTTAACCTGCTTCAAAAATGAAACAGCAGGCAGATTTGATTCTGTTAAACCGTGAAGAGTTGTTTTGGTGCAGTTTATTTATGAAATGTCATGTAGACCATTAAACAAAACCTAAAGGAAATCATACAGATTTTAGACTTAAGCTTTTTTCTTGTTATTCATTCTGTGTAACTTTTGACTCTGTGTGTGTGTGTGTGTGTCCGTGCTTTTGTGTGTTTGTATTTCTGTAGTTACTAGGAGCCCCTGATTTACCTGTTGATGCTGTTGACTGCAGTAATACTGGCACTGGGCTGCTGCTAGCAAAACCAATTCAACTAAAGACTGTTAACACAGAGCAAGTCCTCACTGCAAAATTTGGCATTCCTGTGAGAATTATTATCTCAGTCTGTTATCTTTCTCATTACATTTGTATATCCGTTATCAGTACATTTGCATATCCGTGGTATTATTAATGTTCCTATAAACTGATACGCTTTAAAATGAGTTAGAATGTCTTGAGTATATTTGTCTAATTATTATTTAAATGCTACACTACTGCTCAAAAATTTGGAACTGCACGTCATTTACTTGCAGAACCAGAAGGGAATAACATGTGTGGAGCGGACTCTCCGTGTCTTGCCAAGCACACGTGTCTTCCGTGTAGAAGTTTACAGGCAGGATGAGGATTCAGATGATGTCATGGTGATCCAGAATCTGGAGCGAATCGACTGGACAGCAGGAGACACCCTTGGGAGCCTCCACTTTAGGCTGTATGATGAGGGGGGCAGACTGGTGCCTTTAACACAGAAGCTTGCACATAACGTAAAGGTAATTATTTGCATAACTCTTCAGTTTGATTTTTGTTCATATTATGGAGTAAAAAAACATTGTGATGCTTCATTCTGAAGGTGGAGAGGTGACAGTATTGATTTTGAAATGTTAAAATGGATTATAATAATTATCAATAAAGCCTTTATTTTTAGCAATTTTTAGAGATTGTCTTCAAGCATAGAAGTCTTTTGTCAAGCAACGGAAAACTCCTCAGAAAAAACAAAGTGAAAATGACTGTAGCAGTACATAGTCAGATTTATTAGACTAAGATGAACATTCAATTCAAGCATACACTATTATGTTGAGCATAGGGGTGGGAATCTCTAGGCACCTCACGAATCGATGTGATTGCGATTCAGAGGGCTGCGATGCGATTATAAAACGATTATCGATGCATCTTGATGCATCTTTTTTTTCTATACAGGATTTCTTTTTTTCTCACTGTGTGAGGACTTGGAACTTTTAAAGCAAAGTATTTGTAAAGGTCCATAATGAATTTACTTTCAATATCTTTTATGAATAAAACAAATGGAAGTGATGTGGCAAGTGAACTAGAAGGCTCCTTGATGTATCAGCTGTTTTAACAATAGATGGTCTTAAACGCTGCTAATTCACCACGCTATAACCCTGAAGGCTGGCGTGCAGACTGCACGTCACATAGCAACGCAGAGAGTCTCTCCTAGCTAGTAGTTAACAAAAAGGCAAAGAGACAGATTTAAGGCAAACATTTGGAAACGAATGGACTTATTCGCATTTATAAGCACCACAGTTGTTTTCCTGGTACATTAAATCTGCAACGAGAGTCTGTTAAACACTAAAAAGTTGCAAAGATGAAGTCAGCTTCTCGTTCGAGTTGTCCCGTTCCACCTTAAATAGTACTGCATTTACATTCTGGCGCCTCAGGCCGAATTTAAGGTGGAACAGGTAAATTCGAACAGGAAGCTGGAGAATGAGAAGCAACTTCAGCCTTGTAAAACAGTTGAACGTTGAGAGACGTTGTACAAGAAACTGTTTTACATTTTAACAAAAGTGTCCTGGTGGAGATGGGAGGAAAGTGGCTATAGCTAAAGCTTAAAGCACAGCAAAGTAAGTCCGTGTTTTTGTTTATATTTTTAACCTATACTTGGACATTATCACATACTGAGACATACTGGATATAAAATGTTGTGGCTCCCAAGGTGGTTTGATTTTTGTTGAAAGGACAAAATGGCTCTTCTTAACACTTGGGTTGTGACTCCTGACCTAACCTTGCTTTTAATGCAGAGGGTGCCAGTGGGTCATCCAGTACACTTTGTCATGTGCTGCAACAGACTGTCCGGGCGCTGCACTTCCACACTTCCAAGTTCCGCCTTTTGCGTTCTGTCAACATTACGTTATCAATTAAAATTTAGAAAATCGATTTTTGACATTTGTGAATTGATTCAGAATCATCCATGCGACGTTTGGATAAAACTGTGTTCAGTGTGAAGCATTAGCTTCTGACACTGGATTTTGAGGACACCACAGTCTCCCTTAATGCACTTGTAGTGATCAGCTTATTATATATCTGCATGCGTTATGAGTCTCTTGTCTCTAAGAACAACAGACAGAGAAGGGTTAGCTGACAGTAATGGTGGTTGCTGAGCCACTGACAACTTGTTCAGTTTTTCTTGACACTCTGGCTAAACACTTAAAAAAAACAAAAAACAGCAGCTCTTAAAAACACCCTAACGCTACCTGTCATAGAACCAAACCACTGAGTTGTAGCTGTAGGTTAATACAATCATGGACCAATAATTAAAATGTGTACTCTAGTCAGTTTTTTTTCCTCGTCACCTGCACGTTTGTAAATGTTATGGCCACATTTACAGCTACAAAGAAGAAGCCAACTTTAGTCTCGCAAACAGCTTGTGTTGGTGTGAAAATACGACTGCTAATAGAGACACAGGTTGATGATAAGAAGGTGCACAGTTTCATTTATCGATTCATATGTTTTTACCGCTATATAGAAAACTAAATACTTCTGCCCTATACAGCACAATACTAATCAGGGTGTAGGGATCTATTTTGGTCAGAAAATTTAAGATTTCATAATTCATTGGATCATTTCATAGAGAATCATAAACTAATCAAATCATTCAGAGATGTGAATCAATAATCTGTATTTTTGGAACTTCTGCAGAAGATAACATGTAAATGTGTATGTGTGTGTGATTTAGGTGAACTGGACTGCTGATGTGAAAACAGCAGAATTGGCTAAGGGAATACTACCAAGTATCTGTGTCCCCACAAAAGCACAGGGAGAACACTTCTATCAGGTGGCATTTCGGGACCAGCACACAGTTGACACATCCTTTATAATAGTGTAAGACTGATAACACTTACATGCGCACTCTGTACATAAAGCAAATCATTAACTGCAGCTTTAAGACTCATACTGTGTCAGTATTAATTAAAGCACTTTGTGTATGTAGCCCACGTCCAGATGAGCCTGAGCGACTGAGGATAACTCTCAGTGAAACGACTGTCCGAATGGGAGAAACTCTACCAGGAAATATTTGTAAGTTCTTGCCAAACTACTCATCCCTATTAATTTATCAAAATCAATTAAATGTAAGTTAAAACATAAAGTGCAAATCTAGTTTTTAACTATTTCTTATCTTTCAGGCTATATAGAAGCTCCTTCTGTTTCACATTTAATTGAGATCTCAGTCAGACTAGTGTGCAAAAAGACACATTGAAAATTAAAAACCACAACGGATTTTACAGTGTCCATACAATGTTTGTACTACAGGCAGTTTTCACTTCCCTGTCAAGCTGTTTAACCTCAACGTTCTCTTTCTGTGGTAGATATTGAGGTGGTGGATCAGTATGGGAATAAAACAGATGCTCTAAGTGCTGAGAGCGTGAAGGCAGTCAGTGTGTCTGCAGATGACCTTGATGTATCAGCCCTCAGTGTCGAATGGCAGGCAAGTAGACAGTCTACTTAAAATCTGCCCTGGATCTTTAAGCTCACTCTTCATGTTAATCTTATTTTGCATGACATGTATGTGTGTCTGTGTATAGGCCAGTACAGGGACTGTGTTGGTTGGTGGTGTGCGCTTTGCATCAGGCTTTCCTGGTCCGAGGGAGTTGTGTTTTAAGTACCAGGGATTTGAAGAGTTTTCCAGAGTGAAAGTCACTGCTGGACCACCAGCAAAAATCGACCTGCTGGATGCTCCAGAAATGGTAATGGGCGCATGTGCAAATTGAAAAAAATGAAAATTAGGAGTGCATTTTTACAGTACTCAAGTCAAAGGATTTTAGGTTTAAAAAAAGTCTAAACAATATAAATGGGCATTAGTTAACAATAACAAATCAAGGATAGCCTTTCAGAAATTCCAGTAGGGAGACATATATAAGTATATAGGGCGATAATTTAATGCAGACTGCCAAATAATTATTAGTGATTCATTGAGAAGGTAAATTTTCAGTGGTTTTTCCATGTGATCAGGTTTAATGTGATCTGTGATGCTGTACTATATTACTGAACAGTTTAGAAAACTTTTTTTCTATGAACTGAGTTTCATACCCTCAAAACAGAGTTTCACTGTTGCACTGTTACCTCAAATCCCAATTATGTGTGTGTGCTCAAACCTTTATTGACTACCAATTTTCACTTATTTAAGCTGATAATAACATTAGTATGTATTAATAGCCTGAAATAAAATCAAATCAAGTTGAAAAAAAAAAATGTTAAGCCAACTGGAAAAGACCTTTATGCGTTTACTTGTGAATATTTTGTGCATGTGTTTGTTTGCAGCCCTTACATGTGTTAAATGGACGAGGTTTGGACACTCCGTTCCTGTTACAGTTGTGTGATGAGTGGGAAAACCCAGTTCCAGATCAGAGAGTTGTCATAGCGATCAAAACGCTATCACCACAGCTCAAGGTATCCCCTAAGCCCATTTGATTCATTTTAAAAACGAGTACATCAACCTAGAGTTCTCCACCAAACACCAACAATCTAACACTGACAGTTGGTTTTATTCAGTTCCATAATTAAAACTGATGAACCAAATAAATCAGTGTGAGTGGAGAAGAACACTCTAGCGCAGTGTGAATGGGGGAGGACATTTTAGAACAGTGTTGATTGTGAGGACATTCTGGAGCCGTGTGAGTAGAGTAGGGCATTTGAATGGAGAGACACGCTAGAGCAGTGTGAATGGGGCAGCACAGTACAGAACAGGATTTTTACAACCGTTGCATTGGGAGAAAATGCTAGTCCAGTATGGATGGGGGAGGACATTCTAGAGCAGTTTGAATGGAAAAGCACATTCTAGAACAAGTGTGAATTGGAATAAGACATTCTAGAGCAGTGTGAATGGGGGAACAACATTCTAGATCACTATGAATAATTGAGGACATTCTAAAATAGTTTTAATTGTAGGCAGGTATTCTAGAACAGCGTGAATGAGGTAGGACGTTCTGGAACTGTATAAATCAGGTAGGCTATTCTAGAACAGTGTGAATAGAGGGGGACATTCTATAACAGTGTGAATTGTGTAGAACATTCTAGAACAGTATGAATGGAGGAAGATAGTCTCCCAACAGTCACACAAAGGGATGGCAGACTCATTGTTTGGCTTGTTGGTGCTTGTTGGATTTATGCTCTGAGCTTTAGGTTTATGCCAGTGTCTTTTCTTCATTTGTTCTGAGCTCTGTTTGTGGATGCTGTAGGTTAAATCTTCAGTGATGTCCCAGCCTGTGGATTCAGAGGGAAGGGCCTGCTTTACCCTGGAGATGGTGACAGCCACAAAGTGAGTAAAAAACTGTACCTCCTAATGTTAAACTCTGAAAGCACTCTGCATCCCCATTACAAAGCATTGTCTTTCTTTGTATCTATAGAGGAGAGCATGAGCTGGAGTTCCGTGGGTCCTTCAGTAGAAACAGTATTCCTGGTCCGGTGGTGAAGCTGAATGTGATGCCTGATCCTAATAACCCCATCAGACTTAATGTAGAATACAACAATGATACTATCTTGACAGCAGGAGATACATTCCCAGGTGTGTGTGGTGTGTGTGTCAGATGACGTTTTGATTATTTTCTACGTGGAAATAGGGTCACATATCCTCTACAGAGAACAAACTTGTGCACATTTATGGCACAATTACTGTTTATTTGCTGAATTTAACATATTGGAAATAAACATAAAACGTGGGCTGTACAAAGTTTATGGCACATTGGAAATTTTAGCTTTTAGTATATTGAACTCAACAGGTAAATAGAAGTTTGTTCCCTGTAGAGGATGTATTAGCTTATTTTCACTTAGAAAATCAACAGAGCATGCAATTTGACCAGAGAGAATAATACTGTTCAACTGATTTTCTTCATACTTCAACATATTATATGTTGTGTGTAAGTATTAAAAGCACATGTTCTAACTGAATTTGTTTACTGATTTCCTGTATTTGTAGTGTTTCAAGTGACAGTAGTCTCTGAAGAAGGTGGTCCTGTGAGGAATGCGAGCCCAGCCAGTCTTTCTATGCTACTGTGGCAGGGTTCAGCTTCAGGAACCCGTCCTCCACAAGGAGTGAGTAATACCTCCAGAGACTTATCAACTACCCTGCAGATTTTGCATCATATAATTAAATCTGGTTTTATGTTGGTGGTTTAAATTTGATGTGCATTTGTGATTTCAGGCAACAACTCTTAAGTGTAGTAAACCCAAAGAGAAAGAAAAAGATGGTCACTTTTACTTCAGGTAACAAGTTCTGTGAAACTGCTAAAGTTAGAGCGAGAGAGAGAGAGAGAGAATGATTGAGATAAAACAAGCCAACAGATATACACAGTCTAGATTAGTTGACTTCAAGCATATGAACGTTTAAAACACATTATACTTTTAATATATTTGTTAGGCATTAATTTCACTCAACAGGCTGTCAGTTTTAACACATTGTTAAGAGTATCATTTTATTATCCTTTTTTAATGATGGCATGTATTTGTATTGTTACTGAATATCCATCTTATTTGTTCATTTATATTTTTTCCTTTTTTTTTTCCTCATTTCCTTTTTCATAGAGATAAGGAGATTCCAGAACAAGTGGGAAAGTACCTTGTGCAGTTTGTTTTTGTTTTAGAAAAAAACAAGTGCCTCTGGAGCAGTCAGGTGAGACAAATACACTTTACATGCACACAGCACATTCATCACCATCTATCTCCAAAATTTTATTGATATTACAAACTGATACTCCATGACACATATTTGTTGTCAAACATTTATGTGATGTTGGGCTATTGTGCTAAAATATCTGCGTTTTATTTATTTTACTGCATTTGTAACCTTCTACAAATAAATATTATATTTTTCTGTAATGCTAAATTAAGTGGATCTAAGTCTACTTTCTTTAATTTATTAATATTTATATGTTGGTTTCACCAGATGTGTTAAAATATCCACATCAGACCACAATTCCCATTGCCATACATCGCTATTAATTATATTGGCTATATATTCATTAACTACAGGATGTGGCAATTAAGTGTAATGTACAGTTAGGTCCAAAATACTGGTATACTTTATCAACACATTAATTAATTAAATAATATAATTAACTTCACAAATAAAGAATTATTTAAATAAACAAAACAAAAATACGCATTCAGACCATTACCTGGCATTACTGTTCAAATTTTGAAATACTTCCAGTGATATGAATTGTGCAAGATGGTCAGGTATTTGGGGTCCCAAGATTTCAAATGGGTGTGCTTGTATCCACTGAAAGTTGTCACTTGGTCTTGCTTTACACTGCACTTCACCTGCATCATCTCAATGGGGTACTAGATGTGTTACATTAATTTCATTGTTCTAAACTTTTTATTTTTATATATATTTTTTGTATCCCGTATTCATTGTCACACAGTCAATGTCCTGATTTGTATATATTGCTACATTACACATACAGTTGTATGCAAAAGTTTGAATACCCACAGTCAAATGACATGTTCTGTTGATTTTCTAATTGAAATCAACACATCCTCTACAGGGAAGAAATTTAAATATGGCATTTTCTGCAATCCTTGTGGCACACACTTTTTCCCCCATTTATTTGCTGATTTTAACATATTGGGATGAAAAACAAAATAAAAAATTGTAAAATGTGCCATAACTTTTGCACAGGTTTTATGTTATATTATTTTTTTCTTCAATATGTTCTCAATTATAGTAGAGATTTTATTAAGTGATTTTGTATCATTTCACTTTTTGGATTATTTCTTTTGGCCCATTTTTCATTAATGGTCATGCAGTGTTAAGGGCATCTAGTATTTTCAAACAGTGTAAGATTGAACTATAAAGGTTTTGATATGACAGTGACAATATGTGTAATGATAATAAATGTGACTTAAATCTTCTGTGAACTACGAGTTTCTGATAAGTGTCTTTTCCCCTCATGTCAGATTGCACTGAATGTTGTTCCCAATAAGCCAGTGAAACTTGTTCCAGAGTGTCCTCCTTCAACCCCTGTGGTCTCTAATAGTGGTCCTCTAGCCAGTCGCCTCCTTCTTGACAGGTTATGCCTGAAGATTGTGGTGAGTTTTTTTGAAATTTTTGTATGTGTGTCAACCACTGCAGCTCTATTAAAGCCAATAATTAGAATTCATAACAGGTTTATTAGGGACTGATAGTGTAGAGTATCTGTCAAAAGTTGAGGTTGAGTTTAGCAAATTCATATTTTATTTTGTTAATTTTATTTCAATTTGATTATTTCATTATGCTATTGTTTTTAAGAAAAATATCCAAATTTCACAAAGAATACCACTTTGTACAGAAATTGCATTGCATTTATTCATTCATTCATTTGTTTATTTATTAATTTGTTCATTAATTTATTTATCTATTTATTTATTGCAAAAGAAGAACACATTCTCATACAGCTATGATACCTTTCACCAGTTATGTCCCTTACTTTCCTAATGAATTGCTGTAATTCCATTTTATTGGTAGTGATAATGTGTGCTAAAATAATATTTGGACAGTTAAGAAGTTCAAAATGAGAAGTTTGTCTGCTTCCATTTCCTTTTATTTGTTTAGCAGCTTTTTGCTGCTTATAAAATGAGAAGTAGTGGGTTTGTTCCATGTAAAGGATATGTTAACTTATTTACACTTAGATCAAGAAAACACGTAATTTGACTGGGGTGTTCAGATTTTTGCATACAGTTGTATGTTTCTGCTCATTTTACTCCACAGGACAAATACAGTAACCCAGCTGGTATGGGAATAAATGGACAGGTGATTGTGACTGTGATTAGTGTTGTAGGAGACAAGGCAAAAGACCTTCCTATGTTTGAGAACAAGACCAAGAGTTTACCATACAGTCTCACCAATGGAGAGGCTACAATCACTGTGAGTGTGTTTGTGTGTGTGTTTTGTAAATGTTACTTTTGTTAGTAATTGCTTTAATTAAATTAGATGAATTATTTAGATAAATTATGCATAAGCCCATTCATTGTTTTATCTGGATATTTAGCTCGGCTTTGTGAGGGAATGCTGTTTTTGTCCGTATGTTTCTAGGACTTGGCACTGATGGAGAACAGTCCAGGTTTTGATGGAGCCGAGTACACACTGCAGTTCCGTCCAGTGATTGAAGGACTTGGACCCACTACCACCATCGCTCCTTTTAATTTGCCTTTCAGATTCTGCAATGGTCAGTCTGTAGAGTCTGAACAGTCTCATTAAAACTGAGTTTAATTTAATATTCTGTACTAGCTATAGTTTTTTATCCTTTTCTTTATGATAGTAATATCATTTTACTTTACATTTTATGGAACTTACAGCAGTTACAAATGTGTATGAATGTGTCAGTACAATGTTTTATAATGAAGTTTAATATATGATGAAGGTGGCATGAATCTAGTGATGTTTTCCTGTATTTTAGATGCAGAGAACCAGAAGATTATGGCTGCGATGAGTAAAAAGAAAGACCAGATCTCTCAGACCATTGAGATCTACAGAGGCATTTTAGAGACCAACAAACAACTCACTACTGAACTTAAGAGTAGGCACTATACTTAACACTCTCTGTGTCTCTCCCCCTCTCACCCTCCCACTGTTGGTGGGGTGTATTGCTTAATATGTTTGTACTTCTTTTTAGGTCAAGTACACGATGCCGCCAGCAAAGAGACTCAGCTCAAATCAGAGCTCAGCAAAAGTGGCATAGACGTTTCAAAATTAACTAAAGTGAGTATACATGACATGAGCTTTATTTGAGAATGTGAAAGAAAAAGGTGTTTTGAGCTGGGGAGACATTTGAAGCAGATACATTCAAGAAATGATACATTCTATCCAGGACTGGGTAAATCAAGCACTACTTCTTTAAATAGTTTTCTGTTGGATGTGTACAAGGCACAGAAGGAAGATGTTTTTTTTTATTTCAATTGGGAGGGCATATGTCCGTTCCCTCAGAGCGCATATATTGGAACAGTTTACACCATGCATATGTCAAAGCATATTAAAATCATGCTGGGTTTGCATGTAATTTTAGAGGATGTGATGTTATAGTTCACCGCTTCCCCTGCTGAATGGGATTGACTCAAAAATATTTTGAAGAGGTCATTGTTCTAAAGGTTCACATATTTTTCCAGCATTGACCTTGATTGGTTAAAGTATTTGTTCGTTTAGAACATGCCATTTAAAAGTGCTAAATATGATTGTCTTTATTATTATGACTTAAAAATGCAGAAATTTCGATAATCCCAAAGAGATCAGAGACTTCATTTCAAAGAAACTTTTATTCACAGCTGTAAATAACCATATTAAACACATACTAGTCCCTTAGTATGTTGCCTTTATGTGTTTGTGTTTAGGTATCTGTGATTGAAGATTTGATTTCTCAGAAGACAGCAGATTTAGACAGGATACAGAATGAACCTCGTCGAAAATGTACCATGCCTGATCCATTTAAAGGCAGCCCAGATGTACTTGGAAAGGTGGGTGTGTAAAAGCGTGTGTGTGTGCTGAGGGGAGGAAAATGCAAGGGAAATTACAAATCTCCTCCTTTTGAGGAGCCACACTAAATAACTCTGCATTTTCTTTTCCATTTCACATGTATAATATTTGCCATTGAATATACCATCCGACACATGCTCAAATGTGAAATCTCACGCTGAAATGTGAATTTCTGTTCCACTGAAGGCAGCCTAACAGGCTGTAGAATTTGTTGCTCAATTCTGCATCATATTAAGCAAATGTCCCACCCCACTTGAATAACTATGCCCACTCAGCCAGCCTTCATACTTTCACCATTGCCTATGCTGTTTCAGAAGCGCAGACACCTCTGATCAACAGAACTGTGTAAATCAGAGATGTTTACTGTTAGTAGTAATGTTTTAGTGACTGATTCAGCAGATTGGACTTAATGTTGACATTAACAGGCCCACTGTGGGCAAATTGGATCAAGTTCTGTCCTCACTAGAATAAGTTGGGCATAAGGCCGAGCTAAAAACCTGCAGTAATAGTCAGAGACAGGCTTTAAGTTTAAATCTTTACTAAAGATGTCAACATCCAAACTGTCACGCCCAAAGTAAAGAACATATCTGTTATGGGCTTCAAATGTCTGTGTCAAGTCTCTAAAATGTAAACATTCACCACCACCTTAATGCTAACGTAACAGACTAGCAAATTAGCAATATTTTAATGGGGCAAACATACTCACTTATTCATGGCACATGCTCATGATTTAGTGACAATATCTGGCTTTTAAAGTAAACAAGCTTAAAAGGTTGAACAGAAAAGCCACACCCCTACCCTGCACTCCATTGAGACAGCCAGTAAGAGCAGAGATCACCAAAAATGACAATTTTTTCAAAGAGAAGTAAATGTAACAGTATAACACATCATACAGACAGAATTAAGGTGCAATTTGTTTAATCCTCTTTACAGATGTCTTTCAAATAGCACAGGGAGCTATATTAAATTAATCAAAAGAGAGTAAAATCTGTGTTCTTTATGATGTGGCTCTTAATTCATTTTAACTTTTTTCCGTGTGTGTTTACAGATAGCACACCTAGCACAGGTGGAGGATGATGATGCTGCAAAGGTCATCTCCTGGCATCTTCTAGGTGACATGGACTGTGTGGTTACCGTAACAACGGCTGCAGCAAAGAAAATTTATGATGACACACAAGGACGACAACAAGTCATGCCCCTAGAGACGGTTTTCTGGAGACCAAATAACAAGTAATATCCTTAAATGTTAAATACACTGCTGTACAAAACCACCTGAGAAAGTGGGCTTAGGGAAGTTAGGGTTTTATTGGTTAGAAAAAAATAAGAAAAACAAACAGTATTTATACAAATGAACAATACATTGTGATTTTTTGTGTATGTGTTAGCTCTTCCCGAGGAACTCCAGTAAATAAAGTTACTATCCCACGCTTGCTTCAGCTAATCTCCCCCTTGAGATATATATACACACTCTGTGTGTATTTAAATGTATTTGTCTGAGAAGAAATCTACTTATTTGTGTTACTCAGGCTTTTACCAGGCGCTGCGGGCTTGTTTTGGATTTTGTCATTCATTTTATACCTGTAAATGTCTCTGGTATGTTTGTGCTTGTTTTAGGCCACTGCCTCACATCAGAAATGGTGGAAGTCTGTTCCGTCCCTTAGGGAATCCTGTGTTTGTGAGAGATCTGCTCATTTTTCCCGAGCATGCTGAAAACTGCAACATGGGTAAGTTCTCAGAGGACACGCACACAACAGCAGACTCAGTCGTTCTCAGCCTCTTCATAAGCCTTTATGATAGACAGATTGAAGTGAGAGCTGAGTCACTGTTTCTGGCACTGTTTGAGGCAGTTAGGGTGGGGGTGAGTTTGAGTGTGTTAGAGTGCTCTAGTGTTCCACTGTCTTTGGTTTGGTTGTATAGTAGGGGCTGTTTCTGTTGTGTAGTATATCTTTTTTGTTGTTGCGGTGTGAGTGTTCAGCTCCCCTGTTCCTCTCTGAGTGTTTCCAGATGATGCCCCCAGCAGACTAGTCCATAATGGGGGAGGGCAAGTGGGGGAGGTTATTTACTGTTCTAGTTGCAGTATTTGTACATTGAAGCGTGTAGGAAAACAGTTAAAACTACAAAATGGTGCATGTATATTCCTCTGGAGTCTGGATATTGTACAGAAATGTGCTCTGTGTCTGTCAGTGTAGGCTTGCGTGTGTGTGTGTGTGTGTGTGTGTGTGTTTCTCCCTTCCCCAGTCATTCTGTGAGTTATGTTTCAGTAGTTCCAGATGGTTGTATGTTCAGTACTTGTAAGGTTTTCAGTTTTGTTTTTGCTTATGTAGCAGATCCTTTAACATTCATCTTAAGTTCCTACCTTTTTCCTCTTTTTACTACCATTCTGTTTTTTGTTCTTTCTGTCAGAAGGAATAAATAGGCAGTATCACAGTGAGGTAATGCATATCTTGGAGTAGCAGGATTGTGTGTGTGTGTGTGTGTTTATACATTTCCAGGGCAAGAATGTCCTTATTAAATGGAGGTATATGTGCTCTCCTCGTTCTGACATTGTATAAAAACAAACCTGTGTGTGTGAAGCGTGTGGGATCATTACAAATGTTTCTCAGCCTCCAAATTCTGACATCAGGGATTACCGGCCATTCCAAAAAAATTGAGGGCAGCTGTGTGTATGTTTGTGTGTGCATAATTGTAGTAATCATGTATGTGTGTTTGTTTCACCAGTCTTTTCAAGTCTTGTTGGAGACACCATATTGGTGGATGATTTGGACTCCGCTAACCATTACCGTAGGGGGGTAAGTAGGGGTGTGCGTGTGCGTCAGAGAAGGAAAGAGAGCAATGAAGTATTTAGGCTGCACTTGTCTTGTTCTTTTCAGCAAGGGCAAATATGGTATTAAATTATTACTATAACTACATGAACATCTCTTTTTCTTCAGTGGTATTATTATGGGCCATATGTTGGCACCGAAGACTATGTTGACCAACCAAAAACAACAGAAAAGCCCAAAAATGTGATTAGTTCATTGAATCCAGCTATTCTTTTGCTTCAAACATGGGCAAATGAATGCAAAGCATGCTGAAGTTTCAGAATGATTTGTCTGGTATATGTGACAGTACTGTAAAAGTAGCTACACTCATGTCATGCCAAAGACAAAGCAGAAAAAGTCGAAAAACATTTGGTCTTAATTTGGTCAATAAAACTAACTTAATCTCGTTAAAATTCTACATTGACGTTATGGCGGTTGATTGACGATGACAAAACCAAGGTTCTGTTGTTTTAGTGGAGCAGCGACAGACAATTCTGCCATCGCCAGTGGCATTAGTAGCGTACTGCAGCTATCAGCGGAACTTTGCATCAAGAGTTCAGTACTGTACAGAGCATCGTCCTGCCTTTTTCCACCTTAAATAAACAATCAGTCCTCCTTTCTCACCAGTGTTGCGTGTTCAGTTGATGGCTGTGTGCCACCAGTAGTCGCAACAGCAAAAATGTTCTTCCCGTGTCCCCCATTTACACTGCTCTACCATGTTCTCCCTGCCTTTGCTGCTAACACTTCTAGAATGTTCTCTCTTCTACCCCAGTCACACTGTACTAGAATGTTCTCCCACATTTGCACTGTACTACAATGATCTCCTCCTGTTCATGCTGTTTTACAATGTTCTCCCTCTTATTTACACTGTTTTAGAATGTTCTCACATTATTCACACTCTTCTGCTGTATTCTCCCCAATTCACAGTGTTCTGGAATGTTCTTCCCCATTCACAGTTTTAGAATGTTCTCCCATATTCACACTGCTTTAGAAGGTTCTCCCATATTCACACTGCTTTAGAATGTTCTCCCATATTCACACTGCTTTAGAAGGTTCTCCCATATTCACACTGCTGTAGAGTGTTCTCCCCTATTAACACTTGAACGCTAAAGGTAATCTTAGGCAACACATTTGAAAACAGAACATATCATGGAAGAGGCAGACAGTTCAGTGATGTTAAGCACCATGCAATAAATTTAAGAACGTACTGAGGCTGTATTCATTAATGAAATGGTAAAGCGCCAGAGTAACGCTGCATTAAATCTGTTTTAAGTTGTGCTCGAGATGAAGTTGCACATGTTGGGACAGTGTATAAAATTTGCAGTCCTAAAAACAGAATTGTGCCAATTGTTCATGCTAATAATGCTAAAAAGATAATTAAACGTAAAAATCATGAATACAGGAAAGGTAATTTAAAAAAATAGCTAGTTAATGTGTGTGTGTGTGTGTGTGTCTGTGTGTGTGTATGTGTGTGTGTGATTGACAGGTGGTCCAATGTAAGGTACAGTGCCCCACCCTGCTGACGCGGCAGGGTGAACGTATTCGAAGTAATGGAAAGTTTGGAGGTCTGCAAAATAAAGCTCCTCCAATAGAGAAGCTGAGAGGACAGGTGTTTGGAGCACCACTGCCTAAAGAATATGACACCATATGCAAGCAGATAGGTAACTCTGACTGCATTAATTTGCTGTCTCTGTCTTTCTCTTCCCTTTCTCTCTTTCTTTCTCTTGTTCTTTCTTTTTTACTCACTCTCGGCCTGCCAATACTTTGTTCAACAGACAGAAATTTAGGAAGGTGTTGCCACCTATGTAAAATTTGCAAACATGTAGCTTTCACAAGAACCACATTTTGTTCCTTTTGGGCCAAACCATATACCAACAGGGAGAACGCACCTTCCAGTTTTCGTCAGCAATGTCTAGAGTGTGCAAAAGTAGCTGCATGTTTCAACTCCTGTGTGATATTATTCCCCTCAATCTTATATCTCTTTTATGTCAAAACAGAAATCTTTACCAGAGCAAATAAAGTGATAGAAACAAAAAATCAAGTACTATACATAGTTCAACAAAAAAAAAACAGGCACATGCTTAGTCTACCTAATGTGCAACTTTTGGCCACATGTTCTCATTTACATCACCTCTTATGTCCTCCGTTGCCTCCGGGCACAGTGCTGGATCCAGCAAAACAACTCCAGAAGTGACTTCTCTTTGTAGATGGACAACTTCTGAATAGGACATCAGCTGAGATGGGAATTAGTTATGATTTGCCTATTGTCATACATTGAATCAGCCATTTATTTCTTCAACCATTATAAATTTTTGGTGCTTTGATTGTTGTCCAAGTGTAACAGTTTTGTAATAGTGTATGCAAGCATATGCAAATAAAGCTGTACAGTGACCGCCCACCTTTTCAGCAGCTCTGGTTCTGCAAGTTAAAATCACGTTCATTTTCTCCGTAGACATTTAGGGAAGTCCTTATATAAAGGGTGTTAATCACCCAACTGAAACAAGCAGCTGCAAGGTAAATCATGACATTATAAACATTTATTCAGAGCAAAACATTTTGACTGTATGCTTGACCTTTTTAACGTTATATATTTGTGGTGTTTGATTGTTGTTTATTTTATAGTGTCATGTATGTACACCATTTGCTGTCTTTCTGGTTTTGTGGTTTGTTTTTGTTTTTGTTTTTTTTTTAAAACCTTGTTTACAAGCGTGTTGCTTAGCAGTCATCCAACAAAGACCAGTTTATGCTTTACTGGCACCAAACCACATATTACATTCCATGGAAACAGTGACATCTCTGATTGGTGGAGCTCGCTTTAGGACTCTGGGTGCGTTTCTTTACAAGGAATGGGGAAGAAAATGCGTTTTTTTTTAAAAAAAAACCTTGATCATTGACTTATGGATGGTAAATCTACGCTGGGCAGTTAAAATTTTATGGATAAAATTCAAATTCCCTTATTGTGATTATGAATGGGATTTTTACTTCTGGAAACATGCTTTTCAGCTCTCTTGGGCTCTCGAAATAACCAGTTTTGCTAAAGGCTGAGAGTGAGAAGCGAATGCAAGAATTTTGGAAACTCTGTTTACTGAATGCATGATTTACACAAGTGAGAAAAACACTGTTAATGGTTCGTTCCTAATAGAGTGTTGTCATGCGAACTGAGTGAAGATTTTTTAAAAAGATAACCTGAAAATGCTTGTTAGCAGTTGTTAAAAAACAAAGTGTAAGACTCGACACCCTTCAGTGATAAACAAATTCACCAATGACAGTAGTTGTCAAGAGGGCAATCAGTAGAACAATTTCAAAGGTATATTTGAACGAGAGGCCTAGAGTTGGGGATGCAAAATGGACGTCAGGCTGAAACTACAGACGATTTGAATGGTCAAACTGGGAAAATGCATTACCGGTGTATTATTAGTGCATTAACTCTGACACCACTAATTCAAACAAATGTGTTTATTTGTGTGTGATTGTGTGCAGAGTTGCTACAGCAGTACTCTGTAGCGGTACAGAAAGCATCAGCGGTCAAATCTGATTATGAGAGCCACATGCAGTATCTGCAGAGTCCTCAGATGAAAGAGAAACAGCAGGAGCTTCAGGAGCAAGAGCGGGAGCTCAGAGACATTGAGAAACAGCTTGGTGAGTCAATGGGGTTTGTTAACTTGAATGTTTGAGAGGGATGGCCTTCTGTGTATATTGTTTGTCTATGGAGCTATTCTGCCCATACGTTCTTTAGAAACTATTTGCAGGTGTGAGTAATTTCTACGTACACAAAGAAGTCTTAAACAACGCAGTGAGGGGAGAAAACCTTTACTGCTATGTTGTGTTCGCAAGTAGCCATGTTATAATGCCTGTTTTGTTTCAGTAATTAAACTTGTGACAAACAGATGTGTTTACTTGCTCTAGAGTTTGCTGATACAGGGCAGTAACACATTCAGATGAGTTTATGGTGTGTGTGCATGTGTGTTCATCTGTGTGCTTATTTGTATTTACAGCCAGCACCCCTGTACGCACTTCACCTGTTTCAGCAATGAAACGAAACCTTCTAGACGAGGCTGATGACTCCACCCCTACAAAAAGGATTCGCCGTAAAACTCGAAAACTCATGGGTATGAGCCTTACCTCTGTTAGTTCATAAATAAATACTTGGCTTTATCATTGTGCGGTGCCCATGGAAAGATTACACACATTTCATCCTGTTTATATGTACAGTATTGGGACTAACAACCCAAAGCCCAGGGCTCAGAAACAAAATAGTTGAAAATAGTTTGCTCTGAGCCAAAACACACAGATGTTTTGTGGCATTTTACTTTTGTACATCAGTGAGTTGCTCCAAAATATAGCAGCTAACTGATAATTATTTCCTGGAATTTGTTACGATAGCAAACAGGCTTGGTTATCTGTCGAACATTCACTTTAAGATGATTGAGAAGACGTTTAAATTCGATTTACTTTGAATTTGTGTAGTGATGGCAGTCAAAAAGGCTGCAAATGCTGACATAGTCATTTACATTTAATCAGCTCTCAAGGCGCTGCACAGCCGACCAGAGAAATAATAGCAAGGCTGTGTAACTACACATCAACAAGAAGACAAGCTTGTGAAAACATGAACCCCACCAACAATGAAACATCCTTCCATACAAAGCAGGCACCTCCGTGTGCCAAACACAACTTTTACCCACATGAGCAACACCAGTAAAACAACACCAGTAAAACTCAAAACCTAAACCATCTAGCATCCTAAGCAAAAGCACACAACCAAAGCAGGCATGAAGATGTTTACGGTCCATTTACATCTTACCTTTGATAACTTGATGTGTGAATGTGGGTCAGCTTTGACATGAACCTTGCCTATTAAAGTTAACGTAAAAGAGCATTTACTTAAAGTTAAGTAAAAGAGCATTGTGCTCTAAAGACCCCTAAAGCTAATATTGCAAGGATTGTCATGATACAACAGCAACACTTACAGAAAACCTGTCAACTTTCATTGTCTTAAAAATCCAGCTGGATTGGAAAGACTGTATTCTATTTTTAGTAGCTTTAAAACATGCTGTACATGTGCATAAACATTAAGTTAAACTATCTACAGAAAATGGTTTTCCTTAGTTGTAGCACTTTACAAACATCGTCATTCCTTTCTCATCTTTTCCTATTAAAGTAATTTGGTAACTATAAGGAGACTGGCTGTAGTTGTGGTCGTTAAACATATAAAAAAACATACCAGTATACCAGTGGGATCCAGTGTTACTTTAGCACAGTAGCTGTTCTTTTTTATCTAGCACTAAACGAGGTCAGTTTAATGCTGATAATGCTAGTTCAAAGATGGTAATTGCTTTTATTGGTTTGAGAGCACAGAGGTCACTTTGGGCATGGGTGCTTTGCTGTTAGGAGCATAACAGCTACTTCTTAAGGTAGCGAGAGCCTCCAGCAAATTCCTTTCCTTGTGGGAAACAAAATACTAACCTGTGTTTTATGAGCTCAGTTAAAACATTCTACTTTCCATTAGTCTTTATTAAACCAGAGAGTGGTGAGACAAGGCAGGTTTTGAATTAATTCATAGCTGCTAAACTTTCATGCTAAACTGTGTAAATTCTCTATACAACGTTACAGGTTCTGATTTTTTTAGTCAATCAAGTACTTTCAGTTAGGACTTGTGAAATGTATAAATTGCTGTAACCTTTTAGTTTAAGTAACTTCCGTTTAGTTCTGCTGTCACCAATTTTCACTCTGCTTTCTTTTAACAGACTCTTAAAATGATCATCTCAGATCGACCAGCAAAATCATCTCAACACAATATTTATCTTAACTGCTGCAAAAAATCCTTCTAATAGAATGTTGGAAGAAGAGATTGTGTTAAGGAATGAACTTTTTTGTCAAAGACTGTGAGAATTTTTCGTTATTTTTTCTATTTAATACTTTGTAGCTGCCTTATTTCTAGCATTTTAATATTGCTTGCTTTTTTAAAAGTTGTTTTTTTATTACTGACCCTGACATTAAACATTTTCTGTTTGTGTGAAGCAGAAAAGGCAGCTGAATGATATGGACCATGTCCAGAATGTGTTTTTTATGTTTCTGTTAAAAAAAAGGAAGAAAATGTCTTTTTTTACTTTACAGCACTGTCTCTTTTACCTTTGAATAAGAATCTACTTCATTCTTTCTGTGTGCTTGTGTATGCTTTCATCATCAACGCAGTTTGAAACAAAACTCCTCTACAAAAATAGTCAAAAAGGCTCTATGATGTTCCATGCTTTAATCATCCTTTTGCAAAAGCAAATCCATTTAAACGGATGGTAAGTGACCTTTCTTTAGTTTTCTTTTGCTGTGTTGTGATTATAATATGTAAAGTTAGGGACCTATGTATAAGGACCTATCGTAGTTAGTTACTGAAGTGCAGTGCCTGTCAGGAAGAAACAGGACGTGCTTAACCCTTGTTTTATGTTTGGGTTAAAATGACTTCTTCATAAAAATAGTGTAGATTTTGTTCTTTTCTAATGTTTTACAAAACAAAATGCTGCATACATTTGTAGCATAGCTTTTGATTTGTTGAACCACTATAAAAATTACTTGACCAAGAGTTATGAATGTGAAAAAGCTACACATGCAGTTGTATGCAAAACTTTGAACACCCCCAGTCAAAATGGTCAGGACCCCCACAGGAACACGGAGCAGGTATTATTGTTTGCTGCTGGAGTTTTTAAACACGTCAGTGTTACTGCAGTGCTGAGAATGATCCGCCACCCAAATAATATCTGCTCTGTGAGGGTCCTGTGGGGATGCTGACCATTAAAGAACACGGCAAAAGGGGGCTAACGTAGCGTACAGAGAAACAGATGAACTACAGTCTATCATTATAGAAAGTGCACCTATATGGTAAGTGGAGCTGATAAAATGGACAGTGAGTGTAGAAACAAGGAGGCGTACTTAGTGGCCAGTCAGCATATACCCCATTAATTTTCAGCAAGAAAACTGCAATCCTACATCACCTCATACGTGAGATGAGAAATTGTGCATTTAAGTAAGGAGTGTAGACTTCTATGAGGGCATTTCAAGGTGGTTTCTCCTTCATCTGCAGAACCAGATCTCACTAGCGTTTAAAATCTTGCTGTGGCCACACTTAGCAGGCCAGGTGTTGCTGTTCTTAAACTGTTGTTATTACTTTGCCGTGACTATAAAAAGAATAGCCTATAGTAATTCAGTTTCACCTTCATCAGAACATTATTCATAGTAGCCCATAATTCTGTGAGTTCAGTCCTTTGTGCCCATATGAAGAGCTATGCAGACATCTTCCTACCTAAAGAAGCAAAGCTCGTATGGAATGATGTGTGTCTGTTCTACATTGAACTGGGATTGTACTGGGGGCTGAAAGAGGTCACATTGATTTTAGTGACATTTTCCACTTTAAATGACCAACTTTTCTTTATGGCAACACAGTAAGATTCAAAGAAAAATCTGTATACTGTTGTCAGACTAAGCATTTTATAGCAAATTATTAAATATATATTATTGCAAAATATATAATTTCCCTTTTTGTCTCACTAGCACTACACATTGACAACGACCGAGCTTTTCCGCTTTACTGGTGCCACAAAACATTTTGTTGTTTTGGTTCACATCTTTAGAGATTACAAAGAAAACAAGGTAGAAATTCAACAGTTAAAAGTCTGAAACTAATTTTTTGTGTGAGTTTTGTGTGAATGACCCTAATGCAGTGTCCATCATCTTTTCTTGAACAAAACTGCATGACATTGTAATATTGTAAAGCATTAATGCTCAGGGTTGGACAAAATGCATTAAGATATGCAACACATCTCAGATCTAAATGCATCCAAAAGAAAGGTACGGTGTCCAAAAAGCATACAAAATAAAATACAGTTAAGCATTTCCAGTAGTTCACACTATGTAACATGCACAAACTGTACAGACTTTCAGTTCAGGAGGGAGTAGAACGTTTATGTGGGTGTGATTAATATAAAACATAATTCGTTTCCCCAGAAACAGAAATAACTCAGAATAGTATAAACTCTTCTTTATTTGGAGTAACGTCAGTGCCGCTTCCCACGCCTGGTCTGCTTATTGGACTGTGAGAAAGAAAGTTTTGGGGGATGATGCTGAGAGGAAACAACCCCGGTGGGGTAATTAGCTCGGGGGGCGGAGCTTAAAGCCCATCTGCGTCCCTCACAGTCAGGACCCTCATAACCGCTGAGCACCTCCGGACCCTCCGTGTCTTCCTGGCGGCTCCGCTCCTCCCGGCTGCAAGATGATGAACAGAGCGCACGCGAGTCACGTATGGCCGTCCACTGCGGTCCTGCTGCTCATCTGTCCGCTGATCTACGGAACCCCGTCCAGATTTAGTTTATTCCAGGGCTCCCCGTACTCCAGCAGCGTTCACCAGCAGAGGAACAAGTGAGTCAGTCTCTCTCTCTCTCTCTCTCTCTCTCTCTCTCTCTCTCTCTCTCTCTCTCAAACCCCTCAAACCATTAGAAGCACTTCTACAGTATATGTACATACAGTCTTATGCAAAAGCTTGGGCACCCTTGGTCAAATGACTTCTTTTGCTGATTTTCTAAGTGAAAGTTACACATCATTTGTCACATTTTAATGCGCAATTATTTTCTAAATTTATTATCCTGAAAAAGGAAAAAAATAAATCATATATGTGGTCAGTGCATCTATACAGCAAATAAATAGACATTGCGCACTAAATTTTGCAGAAAGATTCCCTATTGAAGTGTGTTGTCTGTAGAGGATGTGTTGACGTCTTTTCACTTAGAAAGCCAACAAAACGTCATTTGGCCTGAGTTCAGATCAGAGTTAGGTTGTAACTAGTTGCAGTTACAGATACTGAAGTAAAATGAATCTAGCTTAAAGTTCTGTTAGTTACTCAGTACTTAAGTATTGTTTTTTGACCTGCTACTTTCACACTTCAGCTGTTACCTGAGTCATTATTTCACTGATGTAGCAATACTTAGTACTTATGTAATGGTTCATGCTGCTCTATCCATCTACACCCATCTACACTCTTCTATATTTGTAAGGATGTCAGTTAGTTATAGTCATTCACATATACATATAGTTACCAGTTCCTTTTTTACTTATTTTACTTATCATTTTTATTCTGTTCTGTTGCTCTAAAGATTGCCAGAAAGAGAAAAATAGAGTTTAACAAGTCAGTTCCTCTGCTGAGAGATGCTGGGTGAACAAAGAAGTTCTATTACAGTTCTATAAGTTACTCAGTGCTTAACCTCTACAACTCCTTGAGACCACTGGTGGTTCCAAAACGCACTTCGTCAATTTGAGGGGAACTTTTACAAAAAAAATAAAGAAAATAAAAATGTACATTTATTTGATGCAGTTACTGAATAATTTGCCTTACAATTTGGTCGTGTAAATTCAGAAGGACAAACCAAAATATACCATGGAGAAAAAAAGGGGAATTCTACCAATTTTTCAAAATGAATAGTGCATATTTAAATCAATACAATGTGAACAAAGTCATTTAAAGTGGTTTGGTGTGAAATGCTCTGTTCAACAGAAGCTAACAGGGTCAGAATTCTTCACAGTGGTGGTGATAGGAACCAGACATCCACCCCTGAAAGCTCCCTCAGAGCAATTACATGAAATAACTATGAGTATGTTGCCTGATGCGAGACATTGTTTTGTGCTAGTTTTAGATAAGCTTTTAGCCTTTATTGTGAAAATATATGTAGGGTGCCAGTTGGTATGTTTATCTGCAACAAACAATTTCACATTAAACCACTCGGAATGACTTTGTTTATATCTCAACCACTGAATTATGGCAAAAATTAGAAACATTAGTGTTATTCCCCTTTAAGTAATATTTAGACCCTGGTACTTTCGAACTTCTGCTAAAGTAGTTTTTCGATGGTTAGTTTTATGTGAGTTACTGTATCACTGAATTTACATACATTTACTTTAGTGTGTTATAGGCTTATACTTGTCACTTCTTATCTATATGCTTATAGGCCCATGGAGATACACATTAAGCTAATGAAGTGACAACAATATACAAGAAGTAGAACAGTGAGAAGATGAAGGAATGAAATCTCAAGCTGTTTAAAGACCTGGCCTCACCATAATCAGTGTACCTTTGTATTTGTAATCCAACTTTGTAACTTAACAAACACTTCAACCTGTATTTAAAATGTTCAAGCTAAATGAATGTGAAAATATTTTTGAATGGATTTTCTATTGCTGAAATATTGTTCTCTTGCATGTTATTTAATCTCACTCTGGCAGAAACTGGTGTGCATTCGTGGTGCACAGGAACGTGACCTGCGCTGTGCTGGACACGGAGAGCGTTGTGGAAGCCCAGGCTGCCCCCTGTCCACCACATCAGCCCCACTGCGCTCAGAGCCTCATGTAAGTCCCCATAGAAATAATGGGAAGGGTGGAGAAGTGCAAGTTTTATTGGTCAGCAGGGCACTGGCCTGACCACCTCATAACAGAAAGGTCTGAGGTTCAGTCCAGAAATGTGTCACGCTGGGTGTCGGCAGCTTTGAGAAAACATGTTGTGCAAGTAAGGGTGGGCAATATGGAAACAATGCAACATCACGATACTAGAGGACATTTTCACGATACACGTGTATCATGATTTTTGTGAGTGAGTTGGAACAGACAGAATTCACCAGTAAAACAGTAGTGCCAAGTTTAAAAAATGGGTACAGTGACTTTTTTATAGTGCATTTGCAATAATATATAAAAAGAACAGTGGACAAAATCAATAAATTGGTAAAAATAAATAAATGAAATAGGCAAACAGTAAATGCGCTGACATCCAATCAGGTGGTGCTGCTAGGCCGGACAAGCTTTACAGGATGTTGGACCTAATGAGAAATTGTAGTGACTCAAACCTAAATTTAGAGCTCATAATTAATTTCAAACATATAAACAATATGATATTTTATATATATGTGAAAGATCACACTGTTATAGATTGGATGTGTTTTTTTTGCGTGTGTAATCAAGTTAATGTGCCCGGTTTTTACTAGCTGCGTAAGATAGTGTAGCTTTTCAAACTGGAAGCTCATCATTAGTTAATGAATCTAAACAAAAGTCACTACAATTGTTGTGAAATAACACATATTTGATCAATTGATCTTTTTTTTATGATACGTGCAGTTGTTCAGTGTTCAAGAAGCACTGATGATACCCATGATGCACTCAGAAAAGCATGTTGTGATATTATTTATCATGATAGCGATAACAAATCGTCTTAGCGCCCACCTCAAGTGGAAACAGAGTATGCTTTTGTTTCAGATGTCTGTGTTTAGTCTAGAACGGCCTGAAAATGCTCATAGAACTTGCACTTAGCTTAGCTAATATACTAATAGAATCCCATAGGTGCACCAGCAGAGATTTGCATGATCATTAAGGTGTTTTTGTTCCTTTTTTTTTTCAACTGATATTTCACATTTATGACCCAAAGTGAAGCCCTATCTGTAAGAGTCACGGATTGCCACTGTTTTCGAAAGGTCTTTTGACCTCCTGGATCTATCTGACCACATATCACAGATTCCATTTTCTTGGTTGTGGGAAGTGAGCTAAGATAAGATTGGTTTAGATCAGCAGGACACTCCTCAAGGGGGAGAAGCAGGTCAGCCTATTAGTCTTGTTGATCACGCTTTGATTGGTGGGTTGTTAACATCTACCTACAGGCCATCTTATTTATGACTTTTACAACGCCAAGGAGACACTCTAGATATGAGTGGTGTGTGAGGAATGTGACTGTCCAAAAAGTGTTTCGAGAACCTCAGTTAAGGCAGTTGTCCTTAAAGTGAACGCAAGGGACCACCATTTTTTGTTTTTATTTAATTTTTTCACACCATTTGAGAAAGAAACAGCTATCATTTACAATGTGATGGATAGACCAATATAAATGACTCAGAATGACTGATTTAGGTGACTTTAACAGATTGTAAGCATGGTTTATCCTACTATATGGTTTTAATTAGCCATATAGCAGTAATAGAGTACTGTATAAAGGTCAGAGACCACCCTTCTTTTATTTAATTTTCAGTCAAAGTTATTAATTTTGCATGAGAAATCTTTGAGTAGATTAGACATGAGAACCCACTTACATAACGAAAACAAGTTAAAAAACAGGACTTTCACAAAAAAGGGGGTGGACTCCAACAATCCACCATCAGATAAACAGCACTTTAAGCTTTCATCTTTGAGAAAGAGGAGAAAATCAAGCTCAAAGAGCATGTAGCTATCAAAAACTGAGAAAACAAAAGAAAAAAAGAAGAAAACATTGAAACTGGAAATCTGAGATGTGGTGTAAAGTTTTGTGGAGAGATGAGCCTAAATTTTTAGTTGGGGTTAATTATATCATGAGAAGCAGAAAATGCAACCAACTTTTAAGACTGAATTTTGGAGTTCCTGCAGAACTTTAATATTTGTGAATCACTTGGACATCCAAAGCCTAAATACCTTCTGTTAATGATATAGAGCACCTGTGTAGAGTTTGTGTTCTGACCCTCCCTGATGAGGGCGCAAGCCAAAACGTGTTGAAAGACTTTTTTTGTGCCATGTTATATAAAGGCTTTTATTTAATTAAAAGTGCCATGGTTTTTCACCATGGCACTGGACTCACTAAATATTTGGACTCACTAAATACTAAACAATACTAAATATTTGAACTCACTGAATACTAAACAATATTCTCTCATATTTACGTGTTTAGGCTTTTGTGGAATTTTCTTTTAAATATATGTTGTTTTTTTCTTGATCGTGATAAATTATCAAGTTAAGTTGTACTTAATGAAAATGACACAAATGAAAGGTGCACAGTACTGTACAATCTTACTGCGAGAGCACCAGCCATGTCCTCAGTGCCAAAAAGATTGACTTTGAGCTTTTCATTTCTTATTCATTTTTGAGTGTGTGGGGATCTGAGTCCAGATCTGATTCCTAAAGAGGTCCTGGACATGAAAGCTTTATAGGAAGCACTAATGTAAGGCAATGGCTAATGGCTCTACCCTTCTGAGTTTTACTGTTGGCTTCCGACACTCATATTTTGAGTGCCACTCCCTCAGAGTGTGTGTGTGAGTGTATGAATGAGCTCATGCTCTCTCTCTTTTGCTCTCTGACTCTCTCACACATGTACTCGTTGGTCATTGACCCCCCTCCCTTGCCTTCCAAGCTGCTCTCCAGATGTGTTTCATGGTTGGATTGAATCATAATAAATTATATGCCATGTAATAATGCCATACTCTGTTTCTTCTTGAATGTTTATATTTGTGAATACTGTGAGTAAGGGAGAATGAATTTCACTGCAGAGCAAGCGGTCAGCCACAGCAGATCAGTCGCATTTTAGAACCCTCCATGGACTAAAGCTGTCACATTGCTCAGTCTTGTGTTCACGGCACATAGCTGTTCAACTTTTATAATTATAGGCCAAGAAGCATTCGGTATCCGAATGTTGGATTTTCTAGATGACTCACATTCTGTGATACATTAAGACCTGCACATGATTTGAATCAAGAACTCCAGCCCAGGTCCTTTAAATCTGGACCTCGTATCCAGTTTCTGGTCCTGGAATCTGTATTCATTGGTAGGTATGACACTAGATGGCCACTCAGTAACCAGTTATATCAACAATTCATTTAACTACCAGTGATTACAGAATCCAGGACTGCCCATATTTAAAGACCTCTGCTCTAGCATGTGCAAGTGCTTCGTCAGCACATTACATTTTGACTTTGGTACTAGGACACAAGTAAGGTGGTGGTCTTTATTAGCCACCCCTGTAATTGATAGACAGCTGTGACGTTTCATTTGACATCATGTTTCAGACAATTCACATTTATGTTTTCAGGTACCGTACCCACATGAGGCCAATGTACAAGGTGGGCTACAAGCAGGTGACTGAGCTTGAATGGAGATGTTGCCCAGGTTATCGTGGTCATGACTGCATGGAGCTTAAGGATGTTCCATCAGCTCCTCATATTCTGCAAGAACCACACCAAGATCCACCATCAATCCCCAGGCAACAACAGAGTGTCCTTGGTAAGACCTCTGCTGAGATGTAAAACAGCCTCATTCACCAGTGTCTTCCTAAGTTTTTTCTTATGTTTGTTCTTGAGAAAGATCCTAAGAAAAAGTCTACACCAGATTTATGACATGTTCCTAAACCACAGAATTGCTCACAGGTTTGTGCTACTGAGTGTGCATAGCTTCCATTCTTAGCTACGAAACCCCAAATAAGAAAACGGTGAATGTCAGAATCTTTGTAAAAATGCGTAAGTGGGTTTTAAGAAGAAATTTCTTCTTAGGAACGGTTGATGAATGAAGCCCTTTTAGAGGACAAATATGGGCAAATGCAAACAATGGATCTAGAAGAAAACTTGTGAATACCAATGGTAAACACTGGGAAGTTTAACGTTACCTGAGTTTACAAGTTGTATGTCACCAATTAATGCATTCCCTGATAACATGTGAACACAATCAATAGGTCCATTCCAGAGGATACACAATACTATTCAAACATCAGAGACCATCCTTAATTTATTTCATTTCTAGCTATTCCTTTTGAAGTTTTGAACTCACTTTAAGGAGATATTTATAAAGAGATTAAATATAGGATAATCCACATGCATAATGAAGGGGATAGTCAAAGGAAAATATAGGAGTTTCCAAAACTGCATGACTCCTAACAACCATTCAAAAGCTGCTAGACCACTCAAACTCACCATCAGATAAACAGTACTTAAAACGTGTATCTTTGACAGATTTGAGAAAAACAACCTCTACTCTTGCTTTAAATGTGAAGAAATGTACAGATATGAGAAGACAGGTTAATGCTATGGGTCTGAAAGGATGTTTAGGTGTCAAGATGCTGTTACTGAGAAAAAGAAGTAGACAAAAAATGTGTTTGTATGGTGAATGTGTTTTCTCCTATAGGACCAGAGGTCACTTCTGGTGCTCATCCCTGGACACACCCTGGACAAAGTGGACAAATCAGGCACCCCTGGACTGAGGGTAGAGAGTCTGCAAGACAGGGAGATCATCATGATAGTAATCGAGTTCAAGAGTTAGAAGAGGAAGTGCAGCGTCTTTCGCAAACAGTCCTTGACTTGCAGGCTGCCATGACTACTGCCAATGCTAACTTGCGCCTTGACCTGCAAGAAGATGCAAGCAAGATAATTCTGAACCTGCTTGGTAATCTACGGCAGCCGCAGGGTGCCCTAGCTGGTGGCACGGAGAGCATCTTGCTGCCCTCAGATATCCCGATTTCTTCAGCTGCTGAAGAGCTTCAGAACCAGGTCACACACCTTTCCAACACAATCAGCACAAACACCAACTCCATCCAGGATCTGGAGACAAAGCTTTTGCAGCTTGAAGGACATGTGAATAAGCTAAGAGAGACGGAAGGGCATACCATGGCTCCACTGCCTTCTTCTGCCTCAACCGCTGAGTGCCCATGCCAGGCTTACGTTGACGCAAAACTTCAAGACCTCCGTAAGGAGCTGCTGGAAGGAATGGATATTAAGATGGCGGATTTGAAGAACTCTTGTGACTACAAAGTGCTGTCAGTTAAAGAGCATTGTGAAGAGCAAGAGAATTCCTATCTTAGTCTTGCAGAGCTCCTTGACTCCAAAGAGGCTGACCTTCGTCAAGAGATCCAGGACCTACGGAACTTTATTTCAACAGGCGCCCCCTATGGGTTAGATGTCTCAGACCTTCAAAAGGAGATCCAGGACCTCAAGAATGCACAGAGGAACTTGGCTAGTGCCATGAATGCAACAGTCATGAAGCAGAAGGCTCACGAGGAGGCATTGGAGCCCAGGTTTAACTTGGCAGAAAGGAGAGTAGCGGAGAAATGCCTCTACCTAGAAGACAAGTTGAGGAAAGAGAGGGCCAAAGAAGAGGAGGCACAGACCAAAGCATTAGAGAGCAAGATCAATGCAGCTCTACAAGTCTTAGGAGGCACGCAGTCACAGATAATACCAACAGGTCATGCAAACGGCCAAAATATAGTAGAGATGGAAGAACACACACAGAGCCTGAAGGGTGAAGTAGATTCTCTCACACAGCATGTCAAAAATTTGGAGAACTCAATCAGGATACTCAATCAGTCGGTCAGCCGTCAAACTCCTATGGATGGGCTGTATAACAGACTGGACAAACTAGAGGAAGACTGCGGGAAGAGCCAAGAATTGTCTAAAAGGCTTGAGGAGATATTGTCTGGGGTTGATGGACGGGTGGCCAGTGTCGAGAGCGTTTGTGGCAGGTTGGAGCCAGTGTCGGACAGTTTGAAAAGAATCAAAGATGGACTCAATAAACATGTCAATGGTCTTTGGAACTGCGTCCGACAGCTCAACAGCACTGTCCTCACTCACTCAAGAGATATCAACACTTTGAGAGCAAATTTCCACACCACAGTGGGCGGGCAGGATGGAACCACTGGCACTCCTCAGTACACAGGTAAGAATGGCACTGTCTGCTGAGAGGATTATGTATTAACTTAATGGGGAATTACACAAATGTTTCAAAATTTCTGCATAATTCAATTATTGAGATGTAAACAAAGTCGTGTAGAGTGGTTTGGTGTTAAATGGTGCATTGTTGAGAAATTCATCAATTGGGTTTCTTTACAGTGGTGATAGGAACCACAGGTCACAATGTCTACAATGCAAATACAGCAATTTTATTTACACAAAATGACCAAGGAACCTACACATCTTCTGAGGTTTTATATATTAAATGTTTATATGTTAATGATAAAATAAAATCTTGTATCTCCAAAATGGTAACTTTACAGGAGAAGGAAAAAAACGTCTTTGCTTATAATGTAAGTCAGTGGACCCAGACATTTTTCCAAGTCTTTTTGGGCCATTTCTTTTTGTCCATTTACAATGAAATTTATACACAATGTAAAGGGCAACAGGCATTTTAAAAAAAATTAAAATTGACAAAAATGGAGATATGAGGTTTTGCCCAGACAGCAGCAATATCCAAAAAATATGCTTCCTTTGGGTACTATTTTGCCTTACAACATACTTCTTGTAAATTTCCAGCACGAATAGACTTTAAAAATACATTTTAGGCCAAAAGTTGATCTCAAAACTGTCGTAAAACAATGTCTCAGGCATCTGGCAACACATTCGTAACCATTTCCTGTAACAGCCTTCTGTGAGGGAGCTTTTAGAGTCATTAAATGCTTCGGATGTCTGGTTCCTATCACCACCACTCTGAGTGGAGGAGCAATTTACATCATACCTCTCTAAATGACTTTGATTGCATCTTAATGGAGAATGTTATGCAGAAATATTGATAGAATTCACCTTAAATAACATCTGTACAGTTCTTGCTTTGTCTCTTATAAGATTTACAGGATGTGTAAGCAAGGTTTGATCTATGTAAAGAACCTGTTAAAGCTGTGTAGGTGAAAGATCAACAGAACTATGGTTAACATGTAAGACGTCTTGGCTTCTTTGTTAGGTGAGCACTACCAAAATCTGTCTAATAATGCTGAAATCTGTGTAATAAGCTAAATCAGTCAACAGCTCTATCAGAAAAATCACTCACCATAAAGAGCTAAATTAGTTCAGTGTGCTTGCTTTGCTGCACTCTTATATGTGGCAGGGCTCTCTGTGTGTGATCTACAGTGGACTACATGTCATTCAGGTTACACAGTCAGCTAAAAATAATAATAATATTAAGTAAAAACGCTTTTGAACAGTCTATAACAGGCACTAAAAGATATATAATTTGATTTCCTAATTTTCTAGTGGTTACATTTCTAACAGATAACTGTGGCAATGATCAATTACAAGTTTAGGATGAGTACAAAAATATATTTGGCTACTTTCGTGTTAAGGGTGGGCAACATGACAAAATATAATGTTCTAAGACATTTTTACAATACATAAACTGTACCATGATCATTTTTAAGGTTGTGCTATGCAGTATTATGAGTAAAATGATTTTCTCTTCAGCATTTGCAGAAATGAACATGGAACATAGAACAAGAGGGGAAATAAGTGTATGCAGTTACTATACACTGACTGTTGTTTACAGGATCTCCACAATATGTCTTTTTTTATACATCATAGATGTTCATCTCTAGAGACAGCAAACCTTCACCACCTCCAAACTGCACTAATTCACTGATATCTGTATTGTACATTTCTATTAATATTAAGAACAGCAATTTGCCCAGTTTTTCACTGTAATACATTCCTCATTCCTTCAGTATGAGGTATAAGCAAAAGAAAAAGCAAAAATCTGGACCATCTGGGCTTCCCCCAGTCTGATCAGATGATTTTTTAGTCTAGCAAGTTATGGGCCAGACTTAATGTGGAAACTGTGTTGGACTAGTCAGAGATTCCCTGTGTCCCAGCCCAGAAGTGTGACAAATGCATATTTTATATGGGTGAATTGTCTGGGTTGACACATATGATACATGCAGCTGTTCAGTGCACATGCAGTTGTTTAGTACTGATGATACTCGCAGTGTGCTAAGAAAAGTGGGATGTGATGAAATTCATCATGATAATAATAACATATTGCAAGGCTGCAAACTTGGTCTGACTAGTGGGATTGACCAACGTCAAGAGTACAGCTTACATCCAGCTTTTCAAACGTAAAACTGTGTTAACAGAATGCGCATACAGCTACACTCATCATATTCATATTTCTTGCTTTAGACCTTAATGTTGAAATATGAAAACAAATCATATTATTAGCAGGAATAATATAGTGCAGATTCAGTTCTTTGTCTTTCCATTGTGTCACTAAAATTCTTGGTCTGTTCTGCATGTTGCTTTAAATATTTTAGCAAAATCCATCACTGATGATAACTATGAAGATAATTCAGAAGAAAATGGAAGGACTCCTAATAAATGTTATGAATAATTAGTTGTAAAGAAGTGCTGAAAAAAAATTATTCCAGGGTAGGTTAGTGCTTCCTTTTTTTGGGGCTTTAATTAGACGTTAAAAGCTCTATAATCACTGATATTGGACAGGTCTTTTGCAACTCAGCTGTGTACTCTTCAACAAACCCACAATCCCATCATGATCTTGCATAATTTCAAAATGAAAAGATGTCCCCCTTGTCCCAGTAACACATTGTCATGTTTTGCCCAGCCCTATTTTACATACTAATCTATTAATATTGTGACCAGCAATACAAAAAAAAAATGTAAAACCATATCCAAAAGTAATCAGTCCAGGTTTAAATAAATCCAGAGAACTTTGTTACTAATTACATATGTAGTCATGTAATTGCCCAACCCATAGTGACTTATCTGCCCAAAAGTAACAAAACTATCTGTAGCACTTTCATGTTTTCTACACAGCTACATTTAGGTTTCTTATTTACATTATTAGAGTCTTGCCACTGTGCAACACTCGCTAATTATTTGGCACCCTGAACAGCAGCTGTGTTGCATCTGGAATTAAAAGGTTAGCTTGTGTTTAAACAACTCACCCCTAAAGGTTACTGTTTGGAGAAGGATTTCCTTTGAGTGGGGGTGTATGTGTGTTTTTGTGTATGGTGTAGGTAGTTCCTTTTCTGTGTGTGCTCTGATTGGACACACATGTCTGCTCTAACAAGGCAGGCCCCAGAGTTGAGCAACACTTGGCCTTTTGCGAGGGATGCATGTGTGTGTGTGTGTGTGTGTGTGTGAGAGAGAGAGAGAGAGAGAGAGAGAGAGAGAGAGACAGTGTGGGAGAATGAGCAAGAGAGAGAAAGACTGCATCTGCTTCTCATTTGACCCATGTGTATGTGTTAGAAGCACAGAAGTGATTAGGTACATCAAAATCCCACGCAGGGGGTTAATGCCTTTGAAAACATAAAGGCTAATGATACATTGGCAGCATTTGAAACATTAGAGCTCTTTTAGTGTTGTTAGCCCCTTTTATAGACAGTTACTTTAAACAGTTTGTTATACTTACTGTTTTTATTTCCTCCGAGTTACAAAATTTAGTAGAATGAATGCATTATGTCAGTTGAGTCCTTAAGGCAATACTTTTTAGAAGTGTGGAGGCCACAACTGGGAATATTTAACAAATAACTTTCAAAAATGAGAATTGTCCAATCAAAACTTTCCCGACCTGTCGTACTATTGGACAGGTTTCTTGGCTTGAATTATCTGGTTAACCACTTAAAATCCCAGGTTTATTTCATGCCAAGGCTTCTTATTCAGCACTTACATGGAAAGCAATGCAAATTTGTGCAGTTATTAAGTTATAGTGTGGACCGCTGGTAGGTTTTGGCCTTTTATGAGGTTAAAATAGAAATCCTGCATTGTGAAATAACCTCCAGGCTTATTCAGTCACAGCCCACAGTTTATCAACAGTGGTGGTGTACACAGCTCAATTACATAGTTCCACATGTTACTCTTGCTTCTCCTGTTAAGCTCCGTCTGTGAATTTGAGACAGGCAGCATGATTCCAGCCCCTTCAGCTATGTAACAGATGAAGTATTTTGGGCCCCTTTGCTGCTGTAAAACCAGTTTCTTACAGAACATATTGTGCATGTGTGAATGCTTACGTGCTAACAAGTGAACAAGCGCCAGCGGTCCACCCCCTGATCTTCACTGGTACTTTATTGCGTGCTGTGAGTGTTTATGAAATGCTTCTCTTTTAGCCACAGTAGTAAGCAGCACCATACTAAGACACTGTGTTTGTCTTCTCTTTATGAGTCTTCGCTCACAAACTAAGGCTGAAAGATCCATCATGTTTGCTTCAAAATCACAATTTGAAAAATTTCAAATGGCAATTTTAATTTTATCAACAGCTTATTTTGTCTCAAAGTGGAGTAATTTAACCTAACAACATGGAGCTTGTGAACTGCCTGCAGATGAGGTACACCCACTAAAAGCAAACACTCTTGTGTTGTGACATGACAGCCCACACAAAGACATGGCTGGGCTCCTGAAAAATTTTGTTGGCTGCAAACCCCCCATCCCCCTCCAAACCCCCCCATCCCCCTCTACCGAAAGACATAAGGTTGAGATCTAGGCACCCCAACCTCCCTGTGAGTTCTTCATTGTTGAGTACCTGTTGATGAAACCTGCTGTATTCTTGTAGATGACAGAGCCACACAGTGATCACTTTAAGTGCATTAACATTAATATTGATATTCATTTGGATATTATAGACTGCTGTTTACTTTAAAATGTAAAGTAAAATCACTATTTTTAGGATGAACATAGTGTGACATGATAAACTGATACAATTTTGGCTGTTTTTTTTTTTCAAACAACTGTTTTATAGTGTTTAATATGACCCAATTTGATTGATCATCAAATCAGATGATGATGGCTGTCACTTTATAGTGTTAAAGTAAATGAACTTCTTTTTTGATATGTGTATAGGGGTGCACACTGGGATTAAATTGGGATTTCAGAGGTGATGAGCCCTGTGTTTTGCATGGGCGTCAACAATATCATTCAATTTATGTTTAATTCCCGGCACTG